TGGGTCCCAGGAGGGAAGGTGCCAGTAAAGCCCTGAGGGCGACGCAAGTAGACCTGCTCGTGTAGGCTGCCCTGAAGGAAGGCAGTGGAGAAGTCGAGGGAGTGAAGCTCGTAGTCACGTTGAGCTGCTAGGTGTAACAGAACCCGAAGAGTAGTCATCTTCGGGGTCGGAGCGAAGGTCTGGAAGAAGTCCACCCCCTCACGCTGACTGAAGCCTCTAGCCACGTAATGCGCCTTGAACACAGGCGACTCTCCAGGGGGGCGCTTCACCTTGAAGAGCCAGCGGGGGTCAGGGGACGGAAGGCCGAGCAAGCGAAGGGCTGACACCGGCGGGGACTGCTGCTGCGTCGGCACAACGGCAACACCGGGACTGCAAGCGGCTCCGCGGCTACCACCGGCACACTCCACACCAGCGCCCCCAGAGGATCCACCCCCAGGGCGACCGGGACTAGCACCCCCAGAGTCAACGAACGGGTGCTGCGACGGCGGCGGCGGCGGCGGCAGCGACAACGACGGCTACAGCGGCGGCAGAGGCGGTGGAAGAGGGGACTGGGGAGGGGCGGCCGGCGAGGACTGCGCAGCAGGGCCACCAAAGTTAGAAGACTCCTCAACCGGGTCCACCGACGGAAGGGGGGTGACGTGGGACACACCAGAGGGGGCAGGACGGGGAGGAGGAGGGGGAGGGGCAGGGACTACCGGGGAAGGAGTGACCAGGAACAGGGGGGGGGGTAACCGGGGGACCGCGGTGGGGGAAGCGATGGTAGTAGGAGACGGACTCGTCAAAGGTGACGTCGCGAGAGTGAAAGAAGCGGTGAGACGGCGGGTGGTAAAAGTGCCAGTCGGACGCGTCAAGGGGAAAGCCAAGGAAGACGCAGGGAAGGGTGCGGGCAGTGAGCTTGTCCGTGCCGGAGGCACGGACGTGAGCAAGGCAGCCCCAGACGTGGAACGCAGACGCGTCACCAGGAGACCCAGTCCAAAGACGGGTCGGCGAAACCTGCGGCTGCTGAGGGTGCGGCCACAAGTTAAGCTGGTGAGAAGCGTAGCGCACAGCGAACGGCCACAGAAAATGGGGTGCACCGGCATGGATCATGGTGGTGCGAGCCACCTCCATGACCAAACCGATGCGTCGCTCAGCGACCCCATTCTGCTGTGGGGAGTCCGGTAGGGTGAACGTCTGGGTGATGCCCTCCGCACGACAAAAGCGACCAAGGACACCTGAGGCAAACTCGCCACCACGGTCGAAGTGAAGACGCAAGACAGGGAGACCGCGGTGAACACGCGCAGAGACAAGCCAGGGGATGAGAGCGCCAGGCACGTCGGCCTTGCGCTCCACGGGAAAGACTGTGGTGTAGCGAGTAAAGTCGTCGACAAGCACAAGGAAGTAGCGCTCGCGACGCGGCCCAGAGACGGGGGCGGGGCCTTAGACGTCCAGGTGCAGGGTCTGCAGCGGCGCGGCGGTAGGGGGAAACGAGGAGGAGTGAGGGGCACGACGAAACCGACCCTCGACATAGGGCGTGCAAGGTGGGGCTGGGGAGGAGGGAAACGCGGGGAGAGAACCTGGGAGACCAAGGACAAGACCGTGCTGGGACATGTGACGCAGACGCGGGAGCTCAGGGTGACCTAGGCGGTGGTGCCAAAGGAGAGTCGGGTGAGTGAGGGACCGACAGGAGCAGGCAGCAGCAACCTGGGTAGACGCAGCCACCTGAGGGAGCGCTCCAGCAGGGGGGGTCACGGTGTCCAGAGTGAACAGGCCGGACACCGGGTCCCGGGGGAACGTGGACAGGGGGGCACCCGTGGCGGCCTCGGTACAGACAGCATACCGCTCGTGACTTGGGAACGTAGTGGTGACGCCAAGGTCCTGGAGGCAGCCGACACCAACTAGGTTCCTGGAGAACGAGGGGATATGCAGACCTGTGAGAGTGCCCGAAGGAACCGCCGGACAGGGAAGGGTGGTGGAACTGCGGGCGACTACCGGACCGCCGGAGGGGTCAGCAAGAGAAACGGCAGCAGGAACAGGAAGCGGCGTCAGTGTGGTGAAGTCGCGGAAGAAACACCGGGAAGCGCCAGAGTCCAAGGTGAAGGAAAGCGAAGCAGAGGGGTCTGGCGATGGAACGACGGCGGAAGCACCAAGACTACACAAAGCAGGGGATCCTACGCCTGACGCAGCAGGGGAGGCTAAGCTAGGCACACCTACACTAGCCGACAGTGAGTAATAAGCGGGAAGCACACTAGAGTCATCAGCATACATCACATGCAGAGCAGAAACAATGGCATCCATGTCCATGTCAAAAATCTGAATCTTACGACTAAGCAAACTGTGCCAGTCCGGGAGGTCTGGCGACGGGCCGAAGCGCTGACGAAACAGGTCGTCCAGGCGACGAAAACAGCGGGGAGTGGAGTGACCGATCTTACCGCAAACGAAGCCGCGGCGAGGACCGGTCTGGATCTGGTACTGACAACGCACGCCTCCAGAACCACCACTCGGCACACCACCACGCGCCCGACCACCGCCAGCGCCGTGCCACCCGGGCGGGAGGACACTCGTCTGCCGCGTCTGCGGCGGCTGCTGCGGCTGCTGCTGCTGCTGCGACTGCAGGGGCGGCGGCTCAGCTGGACTGGGCAGGGTCCCCTCGTCCGCTCCAGCACCAGACGACCCGACTCCACCACCACCCCCTCCCGCACCCCCGCCTCCTCCGCCGCGCCCAACCTTGGGGCGGCGGCCCTTCCCCGAACGAAACTGCGCTGCAGCAGCAGTCTCAGCCACAGCGGCAGAGCCGTCGGAGAAGGTACACTGAGCGGGGGCACAACCCTGAAAGATAGGGACCGGCACGGTACCGCTCGCCTGGGCGATGGAGCGGTGGCGGGTCTCAATCACAGTCAGGGTGTCTACAAAGTCAGTGGGGGTGAGGTCTGCGGGGTGAATGCTAAGGAAGCGGTCGCGGGTGACAGCAAGGCGGTCAGGGAGGCGGGTGGCAAGCAGGTAAAGGGTAGAGGTAATGGGCGGCTGGTGGGCTCTGAGCTGTGCGTCAGTGCAGGCAGCGCGCCAGGTCTCATCTATCGAGCGCAGGTGAGCAGTGAGGTCAGAGACAGTGGGGAAAGACGCAAGGTCAGGAAAGAGCATCGGGAGGATCAGGCGACCCACCGAGGCAGCCGGAGGGGTGGAATAGCGCTTGATGACAGCATCTAAGTAAGCCTGGGCAATAGTGAGGGACCTAAAGCGGGGGCGCTCGGACGGGGGAAGGGCATTGCTAATGGCAAGCTGAGCGACAGCATCTCGAGAAAGCCAGACAGAGCGCGCACGGGCAGTGGCAGCAGTAGACTCGCGCTCAGTGGGTGCGGAGTCAGCGGGCAGAACAGCAGGGGGGTCTGGGCAGGGGAGCGTACCGTCAAGGTGTGCGGAAAGCGGTTCCCCATCCTGCCGCTGGCCAGTGAGTTGGCGCCGGAGGTCGGCAAGCCACGCCTCGAACTCCAGAGGCTGGCCTTCAGCGTTGAAGCGAAGCTCCGCCGCCATCAGGGGTAGTGCAGGACTGTACAGTGCGGTGCAATGCGGTGCAGTGCAGAGCAGGGCAGCGCAGTGCGGTGCAGGGCGGTGCAAGGCGAGGCAGTGCGATGCAGGGCAGTGCAGGGCGGTGCTGTGCGGTGCAGTGCGGTGCAGCTTAGTGCAATGCGATGCGGTGCGGTGCAGTGCGGTACAGTGCGGTGAAAGGTGGGGGAGAACCGTACCAGGGAGAGTGCAGATCGGACGGTCGTAGGGCCGGCGAGGAAGGGCCGGAAGGCGACGCGGGGCCGGCCGGGACAAGCGCGGGAGCCGGCTCGGACGGGCGCAGGACCGGCAGGGACGGGCGCGGGGCCGGCTGGAACGGGCGCGGGGCCGGCTGGGACAGGCGCAGGGCTGGCTGGGACGGGTGCAGGGGCGGCCTGGATGGGCACGAGGGGCCGGCTGGGACGGTCGCGGGGCCGGCTGGAACAGGTGCAGGGCCGGCTAGGAGGGGCACGGGGCCGGCTGGGACGGTCGCGGGGCCGGCTGGGACGATCGCAGGGCCGGCTGGGACGGTCGCGGGGTCTGCTGGGACGGTCGCGGGGCCGGCTGGGACGGGCGCGGGGCCGGCAGGGACGGTCGCGGGGTCTGCTGGGACGGTCGCGGGGCCGGCTGGGACGGGCGCGGGGCCGGCTGGGACGATCGCGGGGCCGGCTGGGACGATCGCGGGGCCGGCTGGGACGGTCGCGGGGCCGGCAGGGACGGTCGCGGGGCCGGCTGGGACGGGCGCGGGGCCGGCTGGGACGGTCGCGGGGCCGGCTGGGACGGTCGCGGGGCCGGCTGGGACGGTCGCGGGGCCGGCTGGGACGGTCGCGGGGTCGGCTGGGACGGTCGCGGGGCCGGCTGGGACGGTTGCGGGGCCGGCTGGGACGGTCGCGGGGACGGCTGGGACGGTCGCGGGGCCGGCTGGGACGGTCGCGGGGCCGGCGCGACGGACTAGGAAGTGCGACGGGCTAGGAAAGGCGCGACGGGCTAGGAAAGGCGCGACAGGCGAGGTAAGGCGCGACGGGCTAGGAGTCGCGCGACAGGGCCAGAAGGCACCAACGGGGGGCCCAGGAGGGGCGTGACGGGGCCCAGGGGGGGGCGCGACTGGTCCTAGGTGACGCGACGGGGCCTAGGGGGTGCGACGCACGGGGGTAGATCCTAGGGCGGAAGCGTGGGGGGGCGGTGGGACCTACCTACTGCTGATACCATCTTAGAACGGAATGAATGAATGGGATAGTGAGAGAGTACAAGGGTATATACCTAGAAGTGTTGTACCCTCTAAGAGGCGACCCTATACAGTCTATACAAACATGAGTTATGCTAATGTTTGACAAAAGACCACCCTTTTTCTTCGAGGCGCAGTCGCTGTAAGGGCGGCGCTGCGCCTCGACCAGGGAGCCAAATACTTGAAATTCAACAAAGACTGAGCATTCCGAAAGGGAACAGTAACACGAAACTGTAGAGCGTGCTAAAAATATATATCAGAAGGTCGTCTATAAGTCAATGTATGAACCATTGTCGATATTCTAAATGTAACGATGCCACATTTGCTGTAAGTATCTGACCACTGAATAGCACCATGAACATTATGAGGAAATCGTGCATGGCCTCGTATATTGGAGCAGTAAAGGGTCATGAGGTATGACTTAGCTGCTACATTTTTTAAACACCATTTTTGTCATGTGATTGAACCGGACACGTAGGAGTAAACTATGTCAGCCCACGAGTCAGGCACGCCAGGAACACACCAATGAGAGCAATCCATGGATTCCTCTCCATACTTCTGCAAGTGCGCATCTGGCCGGTACAAAGTAGCCCTTGTGATGTCGATAATCTTGAACCTTGGATTGCGTAACTCCTGCCATGGCACACATTGTGAGGAGGAGGGCAACAAAACATGGAAGCACTCAGGAAAGCACACCAGGATCAGAAGTGCACATCATGCAGGCACAATGAGACATACGAATCGGCAACCAACAGACTTCCACTTGATCAAAGCTCTTGACCCAACCCCACACATGACCATCTGAAACCTCTCAGAAACGTCCACTGAGTCAGCAACGGTGGATCCCTCCTTACCCGAACGAGGCCATTGCGAGCCTGCATAAAAAAGGTGTTTTTGGCGGCATACTCCGCCACCTTATCTCCCACAGGCGCCTGAGCAGTGCTGCAGTCACTCATGGGGTCTTCTGGAGGAAAGGACTTTCCGTAGTGCGTGGCAGTGTAGGTGAGCGCCATGGGCATGCCTCGAAAGCCAATGGCTTGGATCGTGCGACGGACGGTCCGGATCGCCGCTCGCATGGCTGTGATTGAATTCACGGAGATCGGTGAGCCGTTATAGCCGCGGTAGTCTCGGTTGCTGGAAGCAGCCTGGAAGGGGTGAAGGGGGAGGAAGCAACAGAAGGGGCGATTGTTGGAAGCAGGGAGATGACATCCTGATGGGTGATGGGCGAGCTTGTTATCGCCGCGGTAGTCTCGGTTGCTGGAAGGGGCCTGGAAGGGGTGAAGGGGAGCAAGGGAGGGGTGCAGAAACCTGCAGTTGACGGAGGGACGGCGGCAGGGAACTGCTGGCAATGATACCGAAGATCCGTTGGCCTTGCTTTGAGTCGACTCAAGACCTGCAGTCGATGGAGGGACGGCGACAGGGAACTGCTGGCAACGATACCGAAGATCCGTTGGCCTTGCTTTGAGTCGACTCAAGACCTGCAGTCGATGGAGGGACGGCGACAGGGAACTGCTGGCAACGATACCGAAGATCCGTTGGCCTTGCTTTGAGTCGACTCAAGACCTGCAGTCGATGGAGGGACGGCGACAGGGAACTGCTGGCAATGATACCGAAGATCCGTTGGCCTTGCTTTGAGTCGACTCAAGACCTGCAGTCGATGGAGGGACGGCGGCAGGGAACTGCTGGCAATGATACCGAAGATCCGTTGGCCTTGCTTTGAGTCGACTCAAGACCTGCAGTCGATGGAGGGACGGCGACAGGGAACTGCTGGCAATGATACCGAAGATCCGTTGGCCTTGCTTTGAGTCGACTCAAGACCTGCAGTCGATGGAGGGACGGCGACAGGGAACTGCTGGCAATGATACCGAAGATCCGTTGGCCTTGCTTTGAGTCGACTCAAGACCTGCAGTCGATGGAGGGACGGCGACAGGGAACTGCTGGCAACGATACCGAAGATCCGTTGGCATTTCCGTGTCACGTGGCACGTATGGCGTTGCTGTGGTCTTGCTTGTGGGAAGGGGGACGGAAAGTAAAGGACCATATTCCCCGTATAGAATCCGCTTTGCACTGCTGCTCTTCCCAAGAACATGAGTGATGACGGGCTGTGGTCTTGCTTGTGGGAAGGGGGACGGAAAGCAAGGAACGACCGATGGAGATTGGGGAATGGCTGACGATCGGGAGGAGGAGGATATGGGGGGGGTGCAGGACGGAACATGGGGTCTAGTTTTGAGGCGCCTCAAAGCAGGACGGAACATGGGGAAAACATGAAGAATCAAGCAAGGAACACACAAGAATATTTTTCAGAAGGATTTCGAACCGCACGTCAAATCACATCAGTGTATTTACGCCACGAAGTCTTATCAGTGTACTCGCGTTAATGAATAGGGTGGATTAGTGCCCTGTAGCAAAGCGCACACACTTGACACGAGAATAGAGTTTCACTCCACGATGACTGGCACCTGTGTTTCATGTGTTTGTAATGAGTCGATTTTTGAGTCGACTCAAAAATCGACTCATTACTCCACGATGAATGACACCTGGCACCTGTAGCGTGACTCCTGCCTTGGGTCATGAATGACACCTGTGCCCTGTAGCGTCTCTGTTCATGCACTCACATGAGTGTGTTCACAATATCGTGGACACGCGCTAGCATACTCACATTGGTGAACCAGTGCCCTGTGGCGAAGAGCACATAGTTGACGTGAGGGAGCAGTTTCGCCCACTTGGGATCCGCCCTCCCCAGATATACCGTCCACACACCCTTGCTGGAGGCTGTACCCTGGGGGAAAGAGATAGAGAAGAAACAAGAGAGGCGGGATGAAAGCAGTCTCGCCCACTTGGGATCCACCTTCCCCAGATAAACCGTCCACACGCCCTTGCTGGAGGCTGTATCTGTATCTGGGAGAAGAGAGAGAGGAAGGAAACGAGATGAGAGGGGAGCAGAGAGGAGAGGAGAAGAGGGAAGATAAACCATCGTGACTCTTACCGAGCAGCCTCCAGTAACGATCTTGCATGATGCGCCATGGTACGGGTTTGCCTGGCAGGATGCGCCATGCATGAGGCTTGAATCCTATGTTCCCACTTACAAGGGCTCACGACAACCTTTCTTAAGAAGCAGAGATCCCGAACCTCCACTACCACTAGGTTCGGAGCACGCACGCGGCCATACCATACCTGAGGTTCGGAGTCGACAAGGAAGTTGGTGGACTGGCGGAGGAAGGTGAAGCTGTGTGACGGTACAGTGAACCCGGACGCCTTGACGCCCGTTCCAAAGGCCGAGCTCGTGCTGTAGTCCTGGTGGTGGGGCAGGGCAGGCAGACGGGGAAGACAGCAGGGCAGGGCGGACAGCAGGGCAGGGCGGACAGCAGGGCAGGGCGGACAGCAGGGCAGGGCGGACAGCGGCATTTTGAGATTGGCAGGAATCACCCAAGGCAGGAATCACCCAAGGCAGGAATCACCCAAGGCAGGAATCACCCAAGGCAGGAATCACCCACGGCAGGAATCGCCCAAGGCAGGAATCACCCAAGGCAGGAATCACCCAAGGCAGGAATCACCCAAGGCAGGAATCGCCCAAGGCAGGAATCGCCCAAGGCAGGAATCGCCCAAGGCAGGAATCGCCCAAGGCAGGAATCACCCAAGGCAGGAATCGCCCAAGGCAGGAATCGCCCAAGGCAGGAATAGCCAACAGGCCAACAGGCTGACAGGTCGACAGGTCGACAGGTCAACGGTGCATGGCATGCAGTACCTTGACCAGCGTGGTCTTTTCGAAGGGGCAGCGCAGGGCGTGGCCGAGGCTGGGGGCATACTAATCAACCAATACAGGAATGGCAGACAGGCAGGCCCGCAGAGCATGGCAGTACCTTGACCTGCGTGGTCGTGTGGATGGGGCAGCGCCGGGCGTGGTGTCACCAGGCGACATGAGCAGAAGTCATACCGCTTTCACATGCCGCATGCATGTAGGTATCTGCACTTGCGTGGTTGTCTCAATGAGGCAGCGCAGCACGTGGAGGAGGTTGGTGGCGTAGGAGTCTCCATCTAACAATAGCAAGCAAGCCTGTTTCGCATACCGTATGCTTATCTGCATGGCAGTACCTGCACTGGCGTGGTGGTCTCGATGAGGCATCTCAAGGCGTGGTAGAGGTTGGTGGCGTACGAGTCACCAGCCGTCATGAAGACCCTGTTGCGAACTTTGCTGAGGAAAGCGGCCGTGTTGAACCTGGTGCCATGGGGGGTGCCACGGGGCAGAAGGATGGTGCACAAGGGGGGTTTATGAATGTATGAGCCACTTGCTGTCATGAAGCCCCTGCTGCGGACTCTGTTGAGGAAGGCGGCCGTGTTGAACCCGGGGGTGGAGGGGGGGACACTCAGGATTCATGAAGCCCCTGCTGCGGACTTGGTTGAGGAAAGCGGCAGTGTTGAACCTGGGGGGGGAGAGGAAGGATGTAACGAACGTAGGAGGGACGGAGGGAGTGACAAACTGCATTTAGGACATATAATGTTCCGATGTTGTCCACGCATAGTCCATGTTGCAGCATGGGCTACATGTGGGAGATATGGAGAGGCACGGAGACCTTGTTGCATGACAATTGTGGCGGTATCAAAACTCGCTCCCCGGGCTGCGCCACTCGCAGTTGCGGTAAGACCAAGTGCTTACCTCTTGATGTTTCTACCAGACCAAGTGCTAACCTCTTGATGTTGCACCCGGGACTGCGCCACTCGTAGTTGAGGTACTCCGAGTCCTGGCGACCTTTCCTGTCGCAGTTGAGCTGCGAGCGAATGCTCTGGCAGCTGTAACCCGTGTAACGCTTCACCCAGGGGTTACGCACCCAGCTAGAGAGGGGCGTTTGGGGGGAGGGGGGGGAGAAGGTAAAGAAAGGAGTCAGTGCTCTGGCTTCTGTAACCCGTGTAACGCCTTACCCACGGGTTACGCACCCAGCACGGCGCCACGCAACCCACAGGCCGGCAAACTCGACCGAGCGGCCGGCAGAACATTGACGGCCGGGAAAAACGGCTAGGGATAGACTCGCTGGTGGCCGGCAAAGGCATCGCGACGGGATGCTGAGGGGACGAGATTTCGTGCGAGAGCGGGGTGACTTTTGAGTCGACTCAAAAGATTTCGTGCGAGAGCGGGGTGACTTTTGAGTCGACTCAAAAGATTTCGTGCGTGAGAGGGACATTTGCGACGGCCGACTCACCGGCCGGCATTCAGATCGCATCGCGAAACCGGCTTTGTGGGCTCGGGCGACGTGGCATTAGAGGAGGCGTCCACGTGGCAGCGCGGGCCCATAACGCACAGCGCCGACGTCACCAAGAGGAGGAGCAGCAGAGGCTCGGAGCACAGCCCCTTGGAAATAAGAAGCTGGAAGTTGACTATTCTCGTGAGTCGCATGCGCGCCGAGCACGGCAATGTCGTGGTCATCGGGGGGCGTAGCGGTTGGGAGCCCATGCTCGTGCCTACTGGTAACCTTATCGCCTGCGCTTAAAAGTTTAATCGTCAACGATGCCGCGCAGCCTTATATCGGCGAATTTCCCGGCGCCTGCGTGGGCTCCGGCGTGCGCCGCGCAACGGTCGAATTTCGAATCGATTCGCACGACGGGCACGCGGAGAAGCCGGCAAGCGACAGCGCCAGACAATACGTTGATCAGTCCTGGGCTTGCGTAAGCGACGCTACTATGCTAGTTTAGGCGAATTTCGTCTCAAGTAACACCTAAAATGGCTCGGCTCGGCAGCAGCACCAGACGAGAGCTGGCTATAATTGGCCGCCTCGCAAGATTTGCCCCGAGGAATCCCGGCTTCAGTAAGAGTGAAATGCACAAAGCCTCACTACCGTACTTGTTGGTGCATGCAGGCCCCTTGCCCTTGCCCCGCCCTTGCCCTTGCCCCGCCCTTGCCCAACTCTCACCTCCTGATCCGATTGATCGAATGGCGGAGGCCTTTCCATTCCACCTGCCTCGTTCCCCCGAGTGGCGAACGACGGTTCATTCAAACTAGCGGCGAATTCGTGTGGGTCTCTTCGCCGCACCAACAGGGCCCTTCGCTCAGCCCCTCGCTGAAGTAAGCCAGGGGGTGCACGAAGCTCGCACATATGCTGGACAAAAAAGGGTTACAATTTCGCTTTGTGCTACAGTAGTTTGTCGCACAAAACGACCCCACTTTCCCCATCAGTACAGTTCATGCATGCGTAGACGAGGCGCAATCACTGTAGAAAGACGGCGCTGCGCCTCGTTTGGGAAGGCGCATGTTTTTCTTGTCTTGTCTTGAAACTCATCACTAAAAGCATCCTCGAACGCAATAGCGTGAAAACTGTAGAGTTCAAATAAGTGCTTTACAGCTCATATTTATGATGAATGAGGATGTTTGTCACAATCTAGAATACCATGCCTAACGTCTCAGGAGAGGGAAATCATTGCACTAGAGAGACGTCACAATATCGATATGTCATGTCTCGAGCCTCTAGGGATAGACATCTTTGCAAAATAAATGTGTATGAAGATAACTAGGTGTATGTACCAAAGAATATCAAATTGACTTGGTCATGTAGGAGAAGATGAGGTCAGACCAGGTGTCAGGGACGCCAGGAACACAAAAGTGAGAGCAGTCATCGTCCGATGTTCCCGCCCTGTACTGTTGCATGTGTGCATCGGGCCGCATCAAGCTGGCCTTGGTGACATCGAGAACCTTGAAGGATGGGTTGCCTTGGAACACCTGGAGCAAGCAGCATTCAGTAAGGAGGGAGAGGGAGACACAATGAGGCTGTTGGTATTGTCAAGAACCTTACTAGAGGGGAGAGCGGCACAAGAAAGCGTCAGAACCTTGATGGTGGGAATCTCTCACCGCTCCTCAATCCTTGCTTCCACCAAATGACCTTTCTTCACCTCAAACGCCATCTGCTTGATTCTCATCGGGCTCTCATTCTACTGCTCACACACCCTCACTACAAGCACACCTTCTTACCGAATACAAGCACTCACCTTCACCACTGCATTCCTCGCCTCGGTCGATTCCAATTTCTTCACAGCAAAACGCCATCTGCTTTGGGTTCATAGGGCCCTTACCCGCGCTGCACTCGTGCACAGCCCTCCTCAGCAGCAAACGCTAGAACCCTTTCACCACTTGCTCTCACTCACCTTCACCACGGCATTCCTCGCCTCGGTCGACTCCGATTTCTTCACAGCAAACGCCATCTGCTTGGAGGTCATAGGGCCCTTGGCCGCGCTGCACTCGTGCACAGTATCATCAGCAGCAAACGCCGAGTCATAGTGCGAGGCTGTGTACGTGAGCACCATGGGCATGCCTGAGTATCCAGAGCTCGACACGTAGTTGCGCATGGTGGTGTAGGCTGCTGTCAACGCCGCCGCTGATGTCATGCCCTTCTGCGCCTGCTTCTTGACAAACCACTGCCGCAGGTTCCCAGACTGCGGGTTAGAATGAGTGGGTGGCAATGTGGCAGGGAAAAGGGGGGGAAAGGGGAGAGGGGAGAGGGGAGAGGGGAGAGGGAAGAGGGGAGAGGGGAGAGGGGAGAGGGGAGAGGGGAGAGGGAAGAGGGAAGAGGGGAGAGGGGAGAGGGGAGAGGGGAGAGGGGAGAGGGGAGAGGGAAAATGTTATTTCCTTCTGCGCTTGCTTCTTGACAAACCACTGCCGCAGGTTCCCAGACTGCGATGTGGCGCATCCTTGAGGAGGGGGGAACGGGAAGGGGGAAGTGAGCACCATAGACGTACCTCTTGGAGCACCATAAGCTCGAGGCTGTGGGTTGGTGAGTGCAGTGGGGGTGGCGGAGGGGAGGGGATGGGGCCATTGAGGAAGAGTGGGTAGAAGCAGGGGGTGAGGGGAATGGTTGAAACATCAGAGGGCACATGAGGCAACAAAAAGCAATTGTTATCCTCCACCCCTTCCATTCCATGCACACACGCACACATGCATGCACACACGCACAGATGCATGTACACACGCACACATGCATGCACACACGCACACATGCATGCACACACGCACACATGCATGCACACACGCACAGATGCATGCACACACGCACAGATGCATGCACACACGCACACACGCAAATTCACACACCTACACCCCTTCCCTTCCATGCCTCACTCACGTTGGTGAACCAGTGGCCCGCAGCGAACGCCACATAGTGCGAGTACTTCAGAAACGGCGTCCACTCCTTGCTGGCCACGTCCAGGTTCACCTTCCACGGGCTGCTGCTGGAGGCCGCACCCTGGAAGAGGAAGGAGGTGGGGGGAGAAACGGCCGGGGGAATGGGAAAGGGAGTGTGGAGAGAGGTAAGCACACTCATTGCTGGCCACGTCCAGGTTCACCTTCCACGGGCTGCTACTGTTTTTGAGGCGCCTCAAAAGTCGTCCAGGTTCGCCTTCCACGGGCTGCTGCTGGAGGTTGCGTCCTGGAATGCGAAGGTGTGGGGGATGGGGGCAGAGCGCAGGGAGAACCTTGAGAAGCGCAGGTAAGGAGGGCACTTGAGAAGCGGCGTTTGCACCTTGCTCGCCACGCCCAGCTTCACCTTCCACGGGCTGCTGCTGGACGCGGCACCCTGAAATGCACAGGTGTGGGGGATGGGGGCGGAACACAGGGAGGGGTAAGGACGGCGCTTCCAGCCCTTGAGAAGCGGAGTCCAGCCCTTGCTCGCCCCGTCCAGGCTCACCTTCCAACGGGTGCTGCTGAGGGAGGGAGAGCACCCTCTCCCAGTCAGTCACGGGAGGGAAGTCTAGTTTTGAGGCGCCTCAAAACTAGACTTGTATCATGCTGAGGGAGGGAGAGCACCCTCTCCCAGTCAGTCACGGGAGGGAAGGTGAGTGACTGGAAGTGGGAGGGATGGGGTGGGGAGAGAAGGCGGGGGCGATGGGGAGAGAAGGCGGGGGCGATGGGGAGAGAAGGCGGGGGCGATGGGGAGCGACACGCAAAGACACGTAAGAGCCACTCCTTGCTCGCCACGTCCAGATTCGCCTTTCAGGGGCTGGTGCTGGACGCGGCACCCTGAATCATTAAGGGCGGGGGAGAGGACGTGAGGTGAAGGGAGGGAAGGGGGGGGGGGGGAGGAGAGGGGAGGGGAGGGGAAGGGAGGGGGGGAGGGCAGGGGAGAGTTGTGTGGAGGGAGGGGAGAGGAGGAACGCGGCGATGAACCGAGGCGTGCTGTAGGCCTGCGACTGACTGGCATAAGAGGCGATCGTGAGGAACGTGGCGCTGAACCGAGGGCCGCTGTAACCCTGCGCGGACAGTCTCTTCTTGACCAGGGCTGCTGTGGCTGACATGCACACACCAGAGGCGGCTGCACCCGCCCCACTCTTACCACGGGAGTTCCATCGACGAGGAAGCTAGAGGCGATGGTGAGGAAAGTGGCGTTGTACTGCGGCACAACGTAGCCCTGCGCGGAGAGGCCCGTCTTGAGGAACGCGCCGTTGACGTCCTTGGTGGGCGCGGCGCTCTCGACCTGGCAGCGGATGGAGTGCTGCACGTTGGGGTTGAAGGAATCGCCGACTCCAAGGAACACCTTGTTGCGCATCAGCGCCAGGAACGCCTTGGGGTCGAACCTGCATGGGCATAGGGGAAGGAAGTGATAAGACGAGGAGTCCCCCTCGCTTGCTTATCAGCACCAGCAAAGCCTTGGGGTCGAACCTGGTCGAAACAGGGGAGAGGGCGGAAAAAAAGGGGGGAAGGCTATAGACGGCAGAAGGAGATAGTCTCGACGCCTAGGGCACCTTGTTGCGCATACCTTGGGTTGAACCTGGCATTGGAGTAAGGAAGGGGGGAGGGGAGGGGGGGGAGGGGAAGAGGAGGGGAAGAGGAGGGGAAGAGGAGGGGAAGAGGAGGGGAAGAGGAGGGGAAGAGGAGGGGAAGAGGAGGGGAAGTGGAGGGGAAGAGGAGGGGAAGAGGAGGGGAAGAGGAGGGGAAGAGGAGGGGAAGAGGAGGGGAAGAGGAGGGGAAGAGGAGGGGAAGAGGAGGGGAAGAGGAGGGGAAGAGGAGGGGACGTTAGTGAAAGGCGAGGAGGAAGAGTGCGCGACGCTGAGAAACACAATGTCGCGCATGGCGGCAAAGAAGGGAGAGGGGGACAGGTTGACGGGGAGAAGAAGAGGAATTTTCTCTTCTTCAGGGCGGGACGATCTTGGGTGGCATACGTCTTGGGGAAATTCGTTGTGGCTCCTGGTTCCGTACTCCCTTCTCTCATGTCGCACCGACAACCAAGTGCCTCTTGATGTTGCACCCGGGGCTGCCACTCGTAATTGAGGTACTCTGAGGCCTGGCGACCCTTTTCCTGACAGTTAAGCTGATGCTTAACTAAGTGAGTAAGCAACTTGATGCTCTTCCTACAGCAGCACCAGGCGAGTACCTGTCAGGTAGAGCATCAGGTTTCTAGTCCGTTCAATATTGTGCAGTGCACCAGCACGCACCTCTTGATGTTGCACCCGGGGCTGCGCCACTCGTAGTTGAGATAGCTCGTGTCCTTGCGTCCGTTCTTCTGGCAGTTGAGGCTCGATCGGATGCTCTTGCAGCTCAGGCCCGTGTAGCGCTTGGGTAGCGACGGGTTCTTTACCCATCTGTGGAGGTAGGAGGACGAGATAAGAGGGAGGGGTGAGAGGGAGAGGTGAGAGGGAGAGGTGAGAGGGAGAGGTGAGTGAGGGCAGAGGAGAGAGAGTGAGGGAATACAATGCTCTTGCAGCTCAAGCCCGTGTGGCGCTTGGGTAGAGACGGGTTGCGCACCCATCTGTGGAGGTGAGGGGGAGAGGTGAGCGAGGCCGAGGAGGAGAGGGGGTGAGGGGGAGTCAGCGCTTCGCCAGCATGGTTGCGACCCAACGAGGAAAATGCTTGGGGAGGGAAATGCCAGCTCGGGGAAGTAACCGGAATGGGCTCAAGTGAAGGATGTCGCCTATGAATCTAGTACTTTCGAGCAGGACACGGATTGTGTATAAACGGAGGATGCGAGATAACGGAGGGAAGTGCGGTGAGGCCGTGGACTATGAAGTTACGGAGGATCGTGAGCTGATGAAAGCTGAACCAAAAACACAAGCTGTGAAGGCTGATCCTAGATTCAGAAGGGCACTCACGAGCCTGCGTTCAGGTCGCATTTCCCGCCTTGAGCTTCCACGTGGCACTGGTAGCACTGGAGTAGCAGCAAGAGCAAAAGCGCCGCTGACGACGCGCGGAGCATCGTCAAAGTCGCAGCAGCCATAAGGGCTTGGAGGGATCGCGTAGTGCTTCTACGAGTGTTTCTGCTCAATACTGTTCGAGTGCCTACTCAGGAAACCTGAAATTATATACTTGGGTTAGAATGATGATAGCGGGACTTTGCTTTCCGCACTACACGACTCGAGTACACGGGGACTGGGTGCTACTGCAGCTGAGCTTTCGAGGCACTCGAAGTCGAAATGCTCACGCACGTGTTCGCGACGGTCTATAGTGTTCACGTGTTCTTTATCAGGCGTGTTGTATGGTGCTCGCACGGACACGCAATCGACGGCGGCTGTCGACTTGACTGATACTTGATCGAGCAGACAGAGTCGGCTGTCAGCTCAGTCCGTCAAAATTCACCGCGGCGCGTAAGTCGCGAGAAACGGTGATTGGTTGGTTCACCGCGGCGACAAGATCTGAGGCGGCGACCACCACGCAAACAGCAGGCAGCGGTGGTCGTCAGGGTGGGGTACCGCAGTCCGTGCGACCGGTGGAGTGTGGTGTGGAGGGTCTGTGCGGCAGATATCGAGAATGGGGTAACGGAATGCTCGAGCCGAGATGTTCTCGAGGGGAGAGTCAAGAGGGGGGCATCTGAATCTAGACCAGAGCAAGGAGTGTGAGGTCCCCATGGAGTGGAGTTCTCTCAATGTGGGCACCGGCAATCCATCCTCAAACCAACGGTCACTTTTGGCTGGTTGGGTCGAAGTTTGCTCAAGGGAAGTCCGTTCTGGGTTCTGCTTCCGTCGCGCTTCGATAAGATGCGGGGTCCAATGAGAATTCGGGGTTTTGGCGGTGAGCGTAAGCAGGCGTTCCCGCGCCAAACTGACACTTCGATGTACAGATTTTGCCCTAACGCGTTTTCTGTATATAAATGTTTCACGTTACACTAGTCCTAAATTAAGAGAATCATGTACTTCTTTGTAAAGAAACCCACATGTGGTATGTTGTTGCACATTGTACATCATTACTTCGACTAAAGTGATACCTGACATACTCTACTTTGGCTATAAACGTTGCAAATTCCACGCCGGCGATGGCTGGCCATGCCTTTGGCAATCAACGTTGTTGTAGCTTCTACGCAAGCGATGGCTGGCCTTGCCTTTCATGGCAACAAAACGTCACAAACCGATGCTTGGGTTTCCACAATCTTGGGAAATCAACTTGGCCGTGACAGGATTCAGGATGGTCTTGCATCGCACATATGTCTGAGATTTGACCAGTCACAAGTGGGAGAGTGAGTAAAGGATCTTTCAACACTTGAGCGTAATGTGCATTCACCAGAGAATTCTTCAGTTGTAACAAGGCACGTCACATACAAACATCGTACCTTGACTTGTGGCGTCGTCATTCCCTTGTAACGAATTCGGGCGAGTATGGTAATCAATACCTGATGTACGATAAGGTGGGAAGAGTGAAAGAAAGGGAGTGGGGAGGAGGGTGGGGTGGGGGAGGGGGGGTGGAGGGGAGGATGACAGCCCACATTGGCCTTGTACCAGAGCACCACACTGGTGTGTAGTTTCTAAAATGTAGATGTAAACTACTCAAAGGCAAGGTCAGCATGTAGGCTTTCTAGAGAGATGCTTATATTTCTGCACCTTTTTAGGGTGCATTGCACAGCGACAGCATACTGCTTGGTGCACCCACATATATGGGCAGCTGCTGGCTGCACTCACATCTAGGGGTAGTAGCTGGTTCGTGACGGCAATGCGCATGCTGCAGATAGTGCTTGAGCTGAAACTATCCAATGCTGTCGCATGCGGTGGGCTGCACTCACATCTAAGGGCAGGTGCTGGTTCTTGACGGCAATGAGCATGCTGAGGCTAGTGCGAGACACTATCGGGAAGTCATCGATGCTCAGCAGTGCAGCAAAGGACGCAGTTGCATGCCCCTTCACCTGCACCCCTTGAAGCTGGTGAGCGGGGAGGTGAGCGGGGATGGTGTGGAGTGGGAAGGAGCGGGGAAAAGAGAGGGCATTGTACGTGGGGGCTAGCGTCAGAATGGGGTGGATTATGGGAGATTTCCTGGGCAGTAATTTGTGTGTGTGTGTGGAGAGAGAGAGAGAGAGAGAGAGAGAGAGAGAGAGAGAGAGAGAGAGAGAGAGAGAGAGAGAGAGAGAGAGAGAGAGAGAGAGAGAGAGAGAGAGAGAGAGAGAGAGAGAGAGAGAACTAAGAGAGAGAACTAAAGAGAGAGAGAGAGAAAGCGCGCCTCACGTTTGGCCTCCTCACGCTTCTCCCTTCGTATTTCGCGGTGCACAGTGGTGAGAGAGAGAGGGAAAGCAGCGCTCACCTTTGTCCTCGCCAAGTTTTGCCCTTGGTATTTAGCGCTCATCCGGATGCTATCGGCGAGCATGGTGAACGCGTTGGGGTTGAACATGCTGCCCGACGCCTTGAGCCGCGCGCTCAGGTACAGCGCTAGACTCTGGGGCTGCAACGGGTTGCGACCTATGCGCAGCTGTAACGCCTGCAATACGACCTTCCCAACGGTCACTTTCGGCTGTTTGGGAATGGGGAGGTAGTTTGTCAACGCGCCAATGAGATTGAAGCCTGCCGTTACCCCTAGGCTTGGCATCGACACACCAGCTCGTCCCTTCAGCACCCTGCTGGGGTGGTTCGGTGCTGCGCGTTGCGTGCTACCGTGCCTCCATTGAGCAACCAAGTCCGATCCCATCTGCTCCGCACCTTGCGCATTTAAAACCTGCTTACTACGCGTCCACTCCTGCTGCTGCTGCTTTATCTTCCACTGCCTACTCTGCCACGTCAGCCTCGCATGATGTGACGTGTTCGAAGCTCCTCGTAGCCTTGACCCTCGGGCAGGCAATCCCGTCATCCGTTTGGCGAGCCAGCCTCCAGCTCCCCGCATCATCCGCTCTCCAACAACCCTGCTATCGTCAGCAGCCTTGCCATCACCGTGCCACTCTTGTGCTCTCTGTACGCTTGCTGTCGCATCCTGCCCGAATGAGGCCTCCAGCGGCCTGCTTTGCGCGGTCGGAATACTCGAGAAGAGAACCACCGCGCTGCAAGCCGTTAAGATTGCCACGATCGCACGGACACCCATCACGGCGTAATTCCAGTGGCTAGTGCACGGCTGTAGCGCGGCTGTAGCGCTGAATATTCCCTGCCCCTGTCGCTCGGTCCGCGCACTGTCGCCCTGTTCTCGTCGCTTGGTTTCCCCGCTGCCTCTCTGCTCCTATCGCTCGGTTCTCGCAGTACGATCACCTCGGTTGTCTTGTGGTATCCTGGGCTGGGCTTTCACTACCGTCGCATGCGGACGCCACCCTCACCTCCTACTGATGCTTGAACGGCGCTATCGCTGCTGTGTGCGTTTCGTACCACACCTTCTGCGCAGAATCGCGTTTGCCCTATGCTGTCTTTCTCCTAGCGATACAAAGGCAGTGCTGGTGGGCTGCGCAATATGGGGCAAAGCGTGAAGGCTCCTCGATACTTTGCACGGCTGGTCTACCACAGACGACTCGATCCGTAAATCACGAATTCGCATTGCTCACAAAGCTCGAATTCAAGGCTACCGATATCGCTCAAATCGGCGGGCCAGACCATGTGAGAGCAACACACATGCAAGCAACAGCCGCCAGACGAAACTTGGTGGAACTGTGGGTGGGGCAATGAGACGAAGCGATGTGGGAAATGGGGGAGTGACGCGTGGGCAGTGCGAATCACACATTGTCAACATTTGCAGGGGAAATGTGAGGCCGATGGCGGCGCGCAATCGCGGCTTGGTACAAATGAATCCGCCGATACAAGCACATGGGTTTGGCGGCGTGGAAAGCGCCCACCTGGAGGGAGTGTGCTGGCACAATGAAACTGCAAAACAGCAGAGCGTGTAACATTACGAACAACCGTTAGCATTATTTCTTAACAAAAAGATCAGACGATGGATAATAATACGGTACAAATAAATTCCCCGAGATTAGTCCTACACAATGGACTAGTTCCTGCTGCCACTGAACTTCCTAAACATACGATCCTACGTGGAACCTAGGATGCCGATTTGGCAATCTAGCAAGGCAACGAGCTGCTGGATGAATCGCCTATGGCTCCACAGCAGCCTTTCAGCAGCAGAAGTGGCGCTCCACTCCACCAAAACCCCATCCAGTGAACCATCCCCATCACCATTAGCAGCATCGCTGTCCCTATGCCCCCCGTTCTCCTTAAGTCTGTTGTCTTCCTTCTGTGTGCTGCTTGTGCCCTGCTGGCCTGCGGCTGCTCCTTCCGCCTTTTCTTTCACCAGCTTGCACAGCTCACCAACCACGCGCCCTGGAATTGCCATTTTATCATCTCCAGCTACACTGCAGTTCACACCAGGGAGCAACCCGATAAGAGCACAAGCCATGTCGCTATCTGGCAGCTGGCCCTTGCCGCTAATCTGCCCGGACAAAGCTTTTCGCAGGGACTGTAATCCTACCCGGGCCAGCTCCCGGGCAGCTTTGACTGCCCGAACCACCTCTTCCGGCAGGCCCTGCTGGGCCACATCTGGGCCGGCCTTTTTTGTCTTCTTCCCAGCAGGTGGGTGGCTCTGCGCCGCAGCGTGCCAGTGGGATATGATGAGTGCCGACCAGAAAGCTGACTCACCAACAAACGACCCCAGAGCGCACAATAGAAGCTTCCCAGAAACTAAGAGAGGAGGAAGGTGCTTCTGGGAAGCTTCTGCAGAAGATCCTGGCAGCATGCACTCTCTCTGAAGCAGCTGAAGGGTTGCTGCCAGCACTGCAGATACAGCCTGCACCAGTCCTACCGCCCTCTTGGCACTAGCTGCAGCATTGGTGGTGGTGGTGGTGGTGCTGCTGCTGCTGCCGGTGGTGGCAGTGACAGGGGATTGCAGGTGGTGCAGGGCGAGGGAAGCAGTAAAGAGCAGGCAGGGCAGGCGGGCAAGAAGAGCTGGCAGGTCCTGCTGCTGCTGTGAGAGGGGCGTGAAAGGCGGAGAAGGGGATGGGGAGGTGAAGGGCAGGAGCAAACAATAAACGAAAAACGAAATGGCAGAGTCTAGAGGCGATTCTTCAGGCAAGGCTAGAGCCAAATCCACTGGAACCCTGGTGCTCTGCTCACAAGGAGAAGGCGTCCTCCGATCCGAGCCCTTCAGACAAGGCTCGTCTTGCTCCTACCTCTACCTACTCACCGTTGCAGCGTCCACCGCTCCTTCCTCTGCCATTCTCTCCATCTCATCGTCCCCCACTCCATTCAGCCTGCAAGACTGCTGCAACACTGCTTCCCACTCCCCCTCCACCGCCTCCCCTTCCTCCCCCCCTCCCCCCACTTCCCCTTCACTCATCGCTTTTGTTCCTCCACCCTCACTGGCTCCAGGGCCCCCTTTTGCCCCCCCTCCACTCCCTTTACCCTTCCCTCCCTCGCCGCCCTTCCCCCCCTTCCCCTTCCCCCCTTTCCCCTTCCCCCCTGCGTTCTCCCCTCCTCTCCCCCCCCTGCTGCACCTGCCCCAGCCCCCACCTCCGCTTTCTTCCCTTGAGAGGGGAGGAGGTGGGATGGGGAGGAGAGGGAGAGGAAGAGGAGGCGGGGGAGGAGGCCTCTGGACTGCGCATGCTTCAGCAGCAGAGAATCGCGAGATTGTTGCTGGTCGGAGGGGGGAGGGGCACGGAAGGGCAGGGATGATAGTGAGGCGAAAGGGGGGCACGGGGGTTGGTGCACCAGAAACTGCAGGAGGAGAGGGAGAGGAGGCGGGGGAGGAGGCCTCTGGACTGCGCGTGCTGCAGCAGCAGAGACTCACGATGTTGTTGCTGGTCGGAGGGGGGAGGGGGGAGGGGGACAAGACGTGAGGGGAGGATGACGGCATGTGGAGGCCTTGTTAGAAACCTTTGCTGCGAGCGCAAGAGAGCTGAAAATGATCATCGTTGGCATTCAAATGAACAGAGCTGGCCTCAGACCCTTAAAGCGCGAGGTCTAGGTTTCCCAAGTGTTCAACAATAGAAACACAAGGGGAGAGCTGGTTGGAGAGCTTCGAAATGTGAACATAACATCGCTAAAGCAGACGAAAGCCGACGAATTCGCCCAGCCCCTGCGTGAGTAGACTGTGGGGGAGAGAAGGTGCCTTTTGAGTCGACTCAAAAGTCCCCTGCGTGAGTAGACTGTGGGGGAGAGAAGGTGCCTTTTGAGTCGACTCAAAAGTCCCCAGCGTGAGTAGTCTGTGGGGGAAAGAAGGCGACGACCAAACCACCAAACCCGCCCATCAGCGTCGGCACCATTCCCAAGACCATGAGTGGCGAGCGTCGGCACCATTCCCTGACAAACAGGGCCCGTCGCCTAGACCACGGAAACGATTTTTGAGGCACCTCAAAAATAGACTCGCCTAGAGCAGGGAAACTGCTCCACCAATAGCGAAAACTCTAGCACCGCAAAAGAGTTACCAGTTCTGTGCGACACCAAGCTTAGGGCGTGGTACATGGGTTGCGCTTTGCCTCGAGACCGCAACCCGGGTTGCGCTACTGGCGAAAAATCCAGCTTTCACATGCCATGCGAAGCTCGGCGAGTCCGGTAACCAGACCGGGTTGCGCAACCGATGTACCACGCACTAACTACGGCGACCTATGTTACCAGCCCTCGTTGCCCAACGTCGTTATTGTCGCAAGGTCGACCAAACCAAGCCTTCCAAACCATCTGAACCATCCCAACCCCTCCCAACCGTCCTTCAAAACCTTCCAAACCTACCAAAACTTCCAAAGCTTCCAAACCTTCCCGACAAAGCGAACTGTCACAAACCTTCCAGGTCTCCGACCAACTTACCAAACCATCAAACCAAACTTCCAAACCATGCCCCCCTCCCAAGCCTTCTCTCGTGTCAGCCCAGCGTGCTCTAGCTTGTTTCCTCCTGCGAGGTTACCGGTTGTCATTTGTTGAGCAGCTGGTGCGTTTTGGGGAAACCTAGACCGTGCGCTTTAAGAGAGCTGGGCTGGCAAAATGCACTGTGAGTCAGGAGGAGATTAAACCAGAAAGAGAGCTGGGCAGCGTAAGAGGACAATTCTCTCACCTTTTCTGGGGACTCGAGGTTGATCCAGCTGTCAGGGGGTAATTGGCCTGCAGGTGAGGACGAGACGGAAGAGCGAGTGGGAAGGCTAAGAGATATAACACTTGTTAATGCATCTGTAATGCACGGAATTCACAGCGAAACAAACTCGGATAGAAGGGAGGATACGAGGGCGGATAGGAGGGAGGATACGAGGGGGTATAGAAAGTAGGATACCTTTCCCACACGCCCCCAGCAGACTACTGAAAGGCAGAGGCAGCGGGTCCCACCATGCCCGCACGCTCCAATCCTCATTCACCCGAACCAGACTCAGCTGCTCCTCAACCACCCGCCGAACCTCCTCCCGCCCGCCCCCCGCTGCCGCCAGCACCTCCCGAACCTTAGCCACAGGCTCGGAAACAGGGGCTTGGTTCGGGGCTGCCGAGCCAGATTGGGTGATTGCGGGGGGAAGGGTGGAGGGGGGGAGGAGGGCGAGGGGGAGGGAGAGGAGGAGGGAGTTGGGGGAGAGGAGGAGGCGCTGGTGAGAGTGCTGCAGGCGATGGTGGAAGGCAGCGAACTCGCGGATCTGGCAGGGGAGGGGGATAGGAGGAAGGGAGGGGGAAGTGAGAAGGGGTGAGGGAAAACGGAAGAGGGGTTGACAATTAAACGAAAGGAGGAAGGACACGAATGGTCAAGTGCAGATGATGGTGCAGATGATGGTGAAAGGTTGCGAACTCACGGATCTGACAGGGGAGAGGGATCATTGGGGGGGGGGAGAAAGGGGATTGAGTAGGGGGGAGGAGACAGCAGGAATGGGAGCTTTTGAGTCGACTGAAAATGTTGTGTGACATTGTAACGAGGTGACTTTTGAGTCGACTGAAAATGTTGTGTGACATTGTAACGAGGTGACTTTTGAGTCGACTCAAATGTTGTGTGACATTGTAACGAGGTGACTTTTGAGTCGACTCAAAAGTCAAGGGGATTGAGTAGGGGGGGAGGAGACAGCAGGAATGGGAGCTTTCATTTGAACGACAAGAGAAAGGGCACGATAGCTCAGGTGCAGGCGACAGTAAGAAGGCTGCAAACCCACGGACCTGACAGGGGAGGGGGAAAGGGGAAGAGGGATAGTGGGAAGGGGAAAGGGAGAAGGGGGGGGGGGGAAAGGGGGAAGAGGGAAGGAGGTTGATGAGGGGAAGGAGAGAGGGCTCTCGCATGGATGTTGGCTGGGAAATGGTGGACTAGAAGAGGGGGCGAGAGGGGGACGTAGAGCAAGAGGGCAATGGCAGCAAGAGGGAATGGAGATGGGATAAAGCACAGGCAATGGTGGGAAGGCTGCACGCCATGGCAGACAGCGGGGGGGGGAATGGTGGGAAGGCTGCACGCCATGGCAGACAGCGGGGGGGGAAGGGTGGGAAGGCTGCACGCCATGGCAGACAGGGGGGGGGGAATGGTGGGAAGGCTGCACGCAATGGCAGACAGCGGGGGGGGAATGGTGGGTCGGCTGCACGCCATGTCAGACAGCGGGGGGGGAATGGTGGGTCGGCTGCACGCCATGTCAGACAGCGGGGGGGGAATGGTGGGAAGGCTGCACGCCATGGCAGACAGCGGGGGGGGAAGGGTGGGAAGGCTGCACGCCATGGCAGACAGGGGGGGGGGAATGGTGGGAAGGCTGCACGCAATGGCAGACAGCGGGGGGGGAATGGTGGGTCGGCTGCACGCCATGTCAGACAGCGGGGGGGGAATGGTGGGTCGGCTGCACGCCATGTCAGACAGCGGGGGGGGAATGGTGGGAAGGCTGCACGCCATGGCAGACAGTGGGGGGGGAATGGTGGGAGGGGGGGATGGCCCGTGGGAGTGGAAGGAGAGAGGGTTCTTGCATGGATGCTGGCTGGAGGGGGAATGGAGGATGAGAGGGATGAGCGGGTAAGAGGATAAGAGGATGAGAGGATGAGAGGGTGAGAGGGTGAGAGGGTGAGAGGATGTGAGGATGAGAGGGTGAGAGGATGTGAGGATGAGAGGGTGAGAGGATGTGAGGATAACTGGGATCTGGTGCAGGCGGTGGTGGGTGGGAAGGCGGCACATTAACGATTATCATGAGTGATTGCACGGATCCGACAGGGAGGGGGGTGGGAGGAATAGGTGTAGGGAGAGGAAGGAAGCAGAGAGGGTTCGCGAATGATATCATTTCAATGATTAGCAATTCACCGCAATCATTGCTGCAATCATTACCTTGGAATAGGTGCCGTGCCTCAGAGCCTCCATGGTGACGTCAGCGTTGTCCCGCCACACGTGATCGTTGAAGAAAGAGCGCATGTCAGTATGCAGGCTGCTGACATCAGCGAGCGATGCTGACTGGTGCAGGTATGGCAGCACGAGGTGAGTGAGCGTGTCCATCTGGATGTGCTTTGCTCTCAGGCGCTGGAAGCTGGAGGGTGGATGGCAAACACAAGTGAAGGGATGGGAACACGTATGAGTGAGCGTGTTGAGCGTATGCAGTTTGCGCTCGGCGCTGGAAGCTGGAGGGGATACAGACGGAGGAGGGAGAAGGTTTTTGGATTAAAAAATGTAGGTGGGTGCAAAAAACGGGAGGGAAGACTATGTAAACGAGATGCTGTTACAAACAGCTCCCTATTTGGTTGGAAATTTCCACCCCACATTCCTAGACCTCAATGCAGCATTCTCCTCACTTCTACTTCCCTGCATACCTATGTTTCTGTGCCGACACATGTTCCTTACCCTTGGCTTTTCAACTCTGGTGTGGTTACCAGATGTGGTTACCGGATGTGGTTACCAGATGTGGTTTTCAGATGTGGTTACCAGGTACAGTTACCTGTAGTGCAAGTGAGGGGCATCCAAGAAAACCTGAGGCCGATGAGTGAAAGATGCGGTTAGAGTGCCAGCATGGTTACCAGATGTGGTTACCAGGTGCAATTACCTGGAGAGGGCAAGGGAGGGGCATCCAAGCAGGCCGTAGATGCTGACCAGCATGGTGTTGAATAGGGGGCTGAACCTGCAAGGGGGGAGGGAAAGGGGAAAAGAGGGGGGAATGGGGGAGGGGTGGAGCGGAGGGGAAAGAGGGAGAAGGGAGTAAGGGAGAGGAAGAAGGGAGTAAGGGAGAGGATGTGGTGAAGGCTGAGAACAGAGGACAAAGGTGCTGAAAAGAGGACTGAATCTGGCATTTTGGGCATTTGACGAAGGGGGAGGGGGGGAGGGGGGGGGGCGGGGGGGTGTGCAAAGTGGAACTAAAGAGAGGACCAAAAACGGATGCAAAGTGGAGAAGCAAGGAGGTGCTGACACTCTGGCACTACGGTGACACACAGTACTGCACTCTTTTCAAAAGATAAGTAGAACGGATGCGCAAGGAACTGGAACTAGAAAAACTGAAAACAAAACCAAAATGGGTGCAAGGGGTGGCATGTAGCATAGCGACATACGGTCGCAGCGAGACGCCATAGTTGAGAACCAAGACTGCCTCAATCAAATACCCCACGCCCTCTGGCTGGTGCCGACGGTATACCTGAGAGAGGGGCAAGGGAATGCGGAAATTGCACCACTTTGCACTGCACTGCATCACACCGCAGCGCTCACCTCCACCAAGGCACGAGGCAGCAACGGGAAGCAGCGCATCCGCAAGCTGCTTCTTCTGGGGTTCCAGGGCACGCTATGGCAAGACCTCGGATACATGCATTGCACCACATTGCACCACATTGCACCACATTGCACCACACAACATCACATCACTCACCTCAACAAGACATGAGGCACCAAGAGGGAGCAGCTCGTCCGCATGGCCCTTTCCCCGGGGGTCCAGGGCATCGTGGCGCACCAAGGCAAGGACAACCAATTGCACCACATGGCACCACATGGCACCACATGGCACCACATGGCACCACATGGCACCACATGGCACCACATGGCACCACACTGCACCACATTGCACCACACTGCACCACATTGCACCACATTGCACCACATTGCACTGTATCACTCACCTCCACAAGACATGAAGCAGCAACCGGCAGCAGCTCGTCCGCATGGCCCTTCTCCCGGGGGTCCAGTGCGGCGGAGAGGGGGGAAGCTTCCAGGAAGAGACGGACACAGCGCTGTGCGCGAGAGATGAGGGCTGGTGGGGATGGGTAGCCAGGGTTGGGGTTGGGGATGGAAATTGAGGGCATGGGGATGTTGAGGGCATGGGGATTGGTGGGATGGGGATATTGAGGGCATGGGGATTGGTGGGATGGGGATTGGTGGGATGGGAATGATATGGACGAGTGCGGCGCCAAACGGAGGGTAAAAAGGGAAGCTTAACGAAGGTCAAGGGAAAACCATTCAGCCACGTATCCATGCACCAACATCTAGGTGTATTTTGAGTCGACTCATGCACCAACATCACCATCATTACCAGAATCGCCACAATCACTCACTTTGATCATCACCACTATCATCATCCCCATCGTCCCCCCCATCATCACCCCCATCATCACCACCATCATCATCCCCATCATCACCCCCATCATCACCACCATTCACCATCAGCATATGTTCTCACCATGATCATCCAGAGACCGCCAGTTGCCCATAACGCCATCCACCTGCTCTACGCTTATTATCCGCCGCAGCCTCTTCCGCATCTCCCTCGCCGCCTCCCCCTCCCTCCTCCCTCCCTTTCCTCCATCCTCCGCCGGCTCCTCCCCGCTCTCTCCTGTTCGAATCCCTCCCTTCCCCCCAAGTGGTTCCAAGCCTGCCACCTTGCTTCGGAGCTCGGTCCCGAGCCTATCCCGGACGTCATGGGGCAGGGCTAGGGCGTAGGCTTGGACGTCCGAAGCAAAGCTGATCATGTCTCCGTGCCTGAGAGGGAGATTCGGAGGGGAGGGGGAAAAAAGGAGGAAGAGGGGTTAAGAGGGGAAGAAGAAAATTGGGACAAGTCAGAGTCGTAGGAAAATCGGGACACGGGTGGGAGCGTTGGGGGGGAGGAGGGGGGAGGAGGAAGGGTGGGAGGATGGAGAGTGAAAATGAGAAATAATCTGACTCAGAATCAGAAGAGCATCCACCCATCACTAGCACCCATCTGCAGCACACACCCACCACCACCACCCACCTGTCAAAGTAGGCCAGCAGGGCACTCTCCAGGTCAGCAGCCGCAGATAGCACCTCCCCCGGGCCGCACCCGAACCACTGCAGCAGGTGCAGGCGCCTGAGGAGCACCTCCAGGCGCATCAGAAACGGCCCCCTCGCCACCCGCGGGCCCTTGCTAGTGGCAGACGCCTTCACCAGCACACCCGCACTCGCCGCCTCTCCTTCTGTTGATTTGCTCTCCCCTTGTGCTGCACCTGCTTCCCCGCTGCTAGCAGAAGCCGGCTGCGCTCTTTCTTCCCCGTCCCGCTCGCTGCTCTGGTCTACTCTTTTCATTGCGGGCTGCCCGCTGCCCGACAGGTGCTGGTGCGGCGAGTGCTGCTGCGCCAAGAGCCTGTCTCTGAGGCCCTGGAAGTAGCGGTCGGCTTCAGAAAGAATCCGGAATAGCTGGATGGGGGTTGGTGCAGGGAACGAGGGGGAGGTGGAGAGTGATAGAGACGGGGAGAGTGTTAGGGAGGTACGGGCAGGGTGGGAGGGAGGTCGAGAATCCGGCAGTCTCTGAGGCCCTGGAAGTAGCAGTCAGCTTCAGAGAGAATCCGGAATAGCTGGATGGGGGTTGGTGCAGGGAACGAGGGGGAGGTGGAGAGTGATAGAGACCGGGAGAGTGTTAGGGAGGTACGGGCAGGGTGGGAGGGAGGTCGAGAATCCGGCAGTCTCTGAGGCCCTGGAAGTAGCAGTCAGCTTCAGAGAGAATCCGGAATAGCTGGATGGGGGTTGGTGCAGTATAGAGGTGGAGGGAGATCGGGAGGAACCGGCAGGGTGGGAGGGAGGCAGTTTCTGAGGCCGTGGAGGTAGTGGTCAGCTTTAGAGTGAACGAGGAAGAGCTGGTGGAGGGGAGAGGAGGAGAAATATGGAGGGATGGAGAGGAAATGCCCTCTGGCCCGTGCCCATGCCCATGCCCATGCCCCATCCACTGTCCCCCTGCGACTGCCTCACGCACCTCATCCTAAATCCATCCGCTTGTTCTCAGGCACTCAGCACGCCACGTGCCCCATGTCCCATGCCCCATGCCCCATGCCCCACACACCATGTGCACCCCCATGACAACTGGCCCACGGCTACTGCTCACTCACCTCATCCTGGACCCGCTTGCTCTCCGGCGCCCTGCACGCCACATCCAGGGCACTTGCTGCCGCCCCCCCCGCACACACACTCTCCCACTCGCCCCCCTCCATCCCTCCCTCACTCCCTCCACCCCCACCAGCTGCTCCTCCCTCCTCCTCTCCCTTTCCTCCTAAGCCCCCATCCCCTCCCCCCTCTCCGCCATACCCTCCACCCGCCAGCATCCGCAGCAGCAGCCCTTGCACCAGCCGGCTCTCCCTTGTGGCCGACTCCCTCCCAGCCTCCGCCGAACCTCCTCCCGAACCTCCTTCCGAACCAGAGCTCGCGTGAGATTCGGCAGCTATAGGTTTAGCACCAGTTGTTGCAGCAGTTGCAGCTGTTGCAGCAGCTGTAGCAGCGTCGGCAGTGACAGCAGCTACAGCCTCTGAGAGAGGAGTGGAGAGAGAGGACTGGAGGTGCGCGAGCATCAGAGAATCCAGATAAGACAAAGATGCCACCCAGTCATCGTCACTACATGGGCGGCACAGGAAACAGAGGAGAGGAGAAGGGCAGGGTACAGTATGCACAGACACCAAATCAGAAGCTTCTGGAGGGTTTGTGGGATTGCCTAAGATCCAATTCACCTCACGCGAGGAGAAGGGTGGGAAGGGTACATATGCACGAAAACCATGCGTGAGGAGTCTATTTTTGAGGCGCCTCAAAACATATGCACGACAACCATGCGTGAGGAGTCTATTTTTGAGGCGCCTCAAAACATGTGCACAAAAACCATGCGTGAGGAGTCTACTTTTGAGGCGCCTCAAAACATGTGCACGAAAACCTAGACAGGAACTCGAGGACGGGACAACATTGAGAAGGGAGAGGTGTCATGGTGCAGGATTCGTCCCCATATACTCCTCCTAGGCAAACCACTCTGGGCTTCTTCCTCTCCTCAAATTCCCTCATCTCATTCCCTCATCTCATTCGCTCATCTCATTCCCTCATCTCATTCGCCCATCTCATTCCCTCATCTCGTTCTCACCCCTCACCTCCCCCCCTCACCCCTCACCTCCCCCCCTCACCCCTCACCTCCCCCCTTCTCCCCTCACCTCCCCCCCTCACCCCTTACCTCCCTCCCTCACCCCTCACCTCCCCCCTCACCCCTCACCTCCCCCCTTCACCCCTCACCTCCCCCCCTCACCCCTCACCTCCCTCCCTCACCCCTCACCTCCCTCGACACTGGCCCCCATCCCGCGCCCCTCACCTGACTGCCAGGAGCTCCCTGAAGGTGGCAGCAGCATCAGTGAACTGCGCTAGGTCTTGCTGCACTTCCCCCTGGGATGTGTGCCCGTGGGTGGGTGGTGGGTGGGTGGTGGGTGGGTGGTGTGTGTGTGTGTGCATGTGTTCATATGTGTGTGTTCACGTGTGTGTGTGCGTGAATGAGAGTGTATGAATGTGTGTGTGTGTGAGTGCAGTTCGTGCGTGTGTTAAGGGAGCGAAGCACGAAGAGGGGAAAGGGCAAAGCACATCTTCTACAGGATCCGAAGATGCCAGACCGCAAACCGAACTCAGCCGCACTAAACACTGGAAATGCCAAGCCCTGCGCTTTCACAGCAGCTGCAGAGCAGTCAGGCAGAAAACGTCTATTCCGACTTAAATTTACCCCTATTACCACTCACGCGGATCTGCAGCAGATCTGATTTGATTGTGAAGAGCTTGGCCATGGGGCCCTGCAGCACCCGCAGCACCTCCTCCCCCTTGCCCTGCCGCCTCATTAGATCCACGTACAGGCGCAGGGCTGGGGCGGGGAGGGGGGGAGTGGGGGGGTGGAGGGGCGAAACTTGGTGCAGTTTGAGGGACTCAGAATGCTTTTGAGGCGCCTCAAAAGCACTGGGGCGGGGAGGGGGGGAGTGGGGGGGTGGAGGGGCGAAACGTGGTGCAGTTTGAGGGACTCAGAAGGTGCCCTCAAAGACCTTGCAGCTGCGGCAGCTGCCACCACCGCTGCACTGTGTACTATCAGTCGACTCAACATACATCTGATCTGCTTTCTCACCTTCAGCTGACTTGAGCCCTCCCTCGCTCTGTGCTTTTCTCTGGATCATTGCTTCTGCCAGTTGGAGCAGCTGCCGCCGCTGCTTCGCCACCTCAGCTGCTGACACAGGCACGGGAGATGATGTCGCTGCACCTGGTGCTGACGTGGCGGCAGCTGAAGCTGGCAGGTGGAAGGAGGCGACGGACGATGGGAGGTGGCATGCTGCGTGATTCTCCTTCTCGAATGCCTGAGGGGGCATGCGAGAGAGGTGAGGGGGGGGAGAGGGGTGGATGAGGGAGTGTAGCGAGAGAGACAAGTGAGGAGGGAGGGTTAGGGAGGGCGCTGAAAGAGGGGGGGGGAGGGGGTGAATGAAGGTGGGGAGAGGAGGGTGGGGGGGAGGATACACAGCAGAGAGGAAACGAGGAGATAGCCACTCAGCTGCTGCTGGTGCATGCTACAGCCGATATTGCCACTCAGCTGCTGCTGGTGCATGCTACAGCCGAGATTGCCACTCAGCTGCTGCTGGTGCATGCTACAGCCGAGATTGCCACCAGCTGCTGCTGATGCATGCTACAGCCGAGATTGCCACCAGCTGCTGCTGATGCATGCTACTGCCAAGATTGCCACTCAGCTGCTGCTGGTGCATGCTACAGCCGAGATTGCCACCAGCTGCTGCTGATGCATGCTACAGCCGAGATTGCCACCAGCTGCTGCTGATGCATGCTACTGCCGAGATTGCCACTCAGCTGCTGCTGGTGCATGCTACAGCCGAGATTGCCACTCAGCTGCTGCTGATGCATGCTACAGCCGAGATTGCCACCAGCTGCTGCTGATGCATGCTACTGCCGAGATTGCCACTCAGCTGCTGCTGGTGCATGCTACAGCCGAGATTGCCACCAGCTGCTGCTGATGCATGCTACTGCCGAGATTGCCACTCAGCTGCTGCTGGTGCATGCTACAGCCGAGATTGCCGTCACCTGCAGGTCCATGCTGCAGACGGCCCAGAGGAGGTATTTGTCGTTTTTTGGCTGCTTCTTGTGCAGGCGCATGGCGGCCTGCTGCATCTTCACGTAGCTGCGGCTCTTCAGCGCTGCGCCCACCAGCAGCTCCTGCAGCTCCACGTTGTCTGGCTGCTTTGCTGCTGCCGCCTCAAACGCCTCCGCTGCCTCGTGGGCTGACAGAGAGGGGCGGGGGGGAAGGGGGCGAAGGGGGGAGGCGATGGTAGAGAGACGGGATCAGGCATGGCTGATCAGGTCAGGTCAGGTCAGATCAGATCAGATCAGATCAGATCAGATCAGATACATGAGGTCCATGAGCATTCGCTCTGTCAGCTGCCCCTCCCAGCCTGCCTACTTGACCCATTCTGCCTACGTGCACTAGATGCCAAAGTACGCCACCCACCTCTACCCATCCTCGCCAAGAGGTCCATAAGGTCCATGAGCGTCCGCTCTGTCAGCCGCCCCTCCCTGCCCTCCTCCCGCACCTCCCCACACACCTCCACCGCCTCGCCCTCCCGCCCCATGCGGTACAGCACCAGTGCCTTCACCAGCTGATAGGAGGGGGGAAGGGGAAACGAGGGGGGGAGTCGGGGAGCGTGGGAAAGAGCACCACCATGCGGTACAGCACAAGTGCCTTTACCAGCTGATAGGGGGTCGGGAGGTTTGGGGGGGGTGGGGGGGTTTGAGGAGACCAAAAGAGGGGCCGTAGACGAGGGTTCGGGGTTTAACATCTGCTCGCACGTTGAGCCAAACTTGACCTTTCGCTTCCACGGCCTCTTCCCGAAGAAAGAGCACTCAGTGTTCTCACGGAACCCTACTTTCTTCGGATCTACAACTAATTCGCTCGGGCTTTGAAACCACGGCCATTCGTTTCCACACGCGCTGCATTCCACTGACCGAACACCCAATGCAGCCGTCCGGCAGTGAAAAAAGGTTCTAACAGCGTTGAAGCTTTCTAGGGGATCCACCTAAGAGCCATTTTCATTATGAACAGCGTGCGTCAAGAATTCGCTCATAGCTGTGCGATTGGTTGCGCCTCGGACCAAGACTAGCACACTATTAGCTTCACGGCTGTCCGGCACACTCTCCAGTGAGCCTTGCAGACCCATGTACCGGCGCCAGCTGGCGGCATACGCCAGACGACGGCATACGCACCAGAATCTGGTTACATCTACTAAAGGCTCATGAATCTGGCTACTGAAGACACACCTTAGTCTGAGCCTGGTCTCCTCCCGCTTTCTGGAGGAGACTATTAACGAGCTTCAACGCGCCTTTCAGGTTCCGCGAGTCGACCATCTCGTACACCGGCCGGAGTCGTCGGTCTAAAACCTGCTCCGCGGCGCGCTGCTGCCGCTCATGTTGCTGCAGCGGGAGCGGCATGTTGGGAGAAATGCCGGCCAAAAGGTAACAGCGACGACGGTGCCTAGAATATGGTGACGAGGATTCGACTGGTCTAGGAGTTCAGGGAAAATACAAGGCGGTTTGATCGCTGGTTGTTTATGAGGGTTGGAGCTGAGTCATTTGCTGGGTTCGCTCTGGCGATATTGGACCAATCGATTGTGGCGTGAGCGAACATAAAGCAATGTTAGCGACAGCCATCCAAAAAAGGTGTAAAATCACAAGAGACTTTCTTTTTATGCATCGCCGATACATGTTGGAACTTCTTGGTATGGGTATCTAGATTTTGTAACATTAATTTTATATTAAAAATCCTTAGGTAAAAAAATATGGCATACTTCTTTCGTAGGCAAAGTCCATAAACGGAATGGTGCTCCTATTAGAGGACTGGAGTTTGTTGGTAGAATCTGGATGCAAAGAGAAATGCTATCGAGGAGCCTTATATACTGAACAACAACGGCAACCCTCCGAATCGCAGACCTGCCTGTCCTGCCTCGATTTCATCGTGCGGGACATTTCCGCGCCCCCTTTTGATGCGACCCCTCTGCCACAAGCGCTTTGGCAGTCAACTTTCGCGATGGCAGCGCTGCCTGTTGACGAAGAAACCACAGCATGTCGCGAGCCTCGTTGACAGCCTGCGACGGGGCTATCGCCCAGACATGTGCGATTCGGATTCAACATTCCCATTCCCCATAAACCCAACGGGCCTCCCTGTCTCAACACAGGCATTGGGAACTGTTGGAGCTGGCCCGATCAATCGCCGCAAAGCACAGCCCTCAAAGGCAGCACCAGACCAAACCGAACTGAAGACCTCTGTTAAGCCCCCCACTCCCTGTGATTGCGCACGATTAGCCAATCAGCAGTTGCCAGAGCAGCAAGTCTTCCCGTCGCCGCCGCCCATGACCTTCTCGAAATTCTCGCGGCTCCGATTGTTGCCATCTGACGGAACGGAAGTCGTCAAGCCATGGTGGCTTCAACCTCCATTTCAGCAGTTGGTAGATAGACTCGGAGGGGTGGGCATTGAAGGACAGGTAAATTGCAGGTGAGGGAGGGGAGCAGGGCGACGGCGACTTGCAAATAGGTGAAAAGCGTTGGTAGCTCCTAGCAGAAGGGCAAGTTGAGAGGGGTAAGTGGGTGCGAGGGACAGAAGCTTAGATTAGCTCCCTGGTACTGCCACGGAGATTACAGAAGCACTGGTGAAGAGTGGCGGAATACACTCGGAGAAGCTCAATAGTCTATATCACAGAAGCTCTTTCCTCGTCTTTAGGCATCTCTTATTTCATCGCTATGAACTAGTGGAGGAACCTTAGCAGCTGGAGGAGGCGCTTTTCCTTCTCTTGCAGCCAATAACCTCAGAACCGTTCCGAGGTTAATATTCTCTCCATTAGAATCCGGGCTCAGCAGCATTGCTATTTCTCTCTCACCATGGCCGAGATTGGACCGCTAAAGCTAGGATTTGGGATGATGCGACGACTACTGCCATACTGGTTCGCTCTAGTCGTAGCGGGGTTAGTGTCACACGCCGCAGCCACCGACTGGAGTAGCATTGCGGCGAAGCTGGATCCCGGAATGCAGAAACTCAACTCATGGCGGACCAACAGCGACCCTTGCGGAAGCCCTCCCTTTCAAGTGCGTGACGCCCCGTTAACGAATGAAAACCGCTTATGACGAATGTAACATGAGACGAATTACTTTGTTTTGGTAGAAAGCTCGTTGCTTATTGCGTGCGCTGGTAGCACCCACCGTGCGCCGTCGTCAACCTCATCCACTATTTCCAACTTCCCAATAGCGCCATCTGCTCCCCGATAGAATCGCTTCGCTCCGCGCAGGGAATCACGTGCGACGGCCATCACCAACCGGTCGCCATGCATTTGAAAGGCCTGTTTTTTAGGACGCCTCTTACATACTCCCCATTTTTCGATCGCTTTGTTCCGCGCAGGGAGTCACGTGCGACGGGCACCACCAGCCGGTCGCCCTGCATTTGAACGGCCTGGGGCTCGCGGGCGAGATTCCGGTGGAGATTAATCAAATCGCGTCTCTGACGTTCCTCGATCTGGGAAAGAACGCCCTCAGCGGCGCCATTCCCGACAGCATCAACAACATCCTCAACCTCCAGGTCGATATTTCGTAATCCCAGACCCCTCCTTTCCCCTCTTCTCTAAAACATCTTGTCTAAAAAAACTCACTGTTCTGACGGATTCCGCCGTGTGCTATTTGCTCAGGTGCTCAGCTTGAGCTCCAATCGGATTGGTGGACGGATTCCGGAGCTGAATCTGATAACGAGCCTCTTTTCGCTGGACCTCAGTCGGAACCAGCTCGGGGACTCCATTCCCGCCTCCATCGGCTTGCTCACCAAGGTAAGCCCCCGCCCTCCCCGCCCTCCCCGCCCTCCCCGCCCTCACTGCCCTCACCTCCCTCACCGCCCTCCCCGGCCTTTCTGTCAGGTCTATACCCAAGTTGTTTGTTTTTCTAATTGCTCTTTCCACCCTAAGCTGCAAGTACTTAATCCGTGTAACCACCACCTCATGTGCATTATCACCTCTAGTCCGCCTCACAATGGACCCCTGCATTATCAACATCCTGCGCCAATGCGCCTTGGATTGGTTGGCCCCGTGCAGCTCAAGGTGCTGGAGCTGAACAACAACGAGCTCGCGGGTTCGATTCCCGACGCCATCGGCAATCTGAAGCAGCTGCAGGACGTGTCTCTGGCGGAGAACCGCCTCACCGGCCGCGTGCCCAAGGGGCTTGAGTACCTGCGAGAAAGCCGCACTGCTAACTACAACTTCACCGCCAATGGCCTAGGCTTCTGCGGAACGGGGTTTACCGGCCTAGTGGTGAGTGAAATGAGATGCTGGCCTCACTGGTCGTGTGCTCTAAGGGCTCGAGTACCTGCGGGACAGCATGGCTGCTCGATACAGCTTCACCGCCAACGGCGCAGGCTTCTGCGCAAATGGTCTGCGGGACTGGTGGTGAGTTTGATGTTCTCCCAGCTTTCAGTGCCCCTTAGCCGCGCCGCAAATGAGGAACGTTTTCTAAATTAGTCCCCCCCGTCAGAAACGTTAGTATTTCGTGCTGCGAACTGACTGTTGCTCGCGGACACGTCTGTGCTGGTCGTGTGGGGTGTGCAGGCATGCCCCGGCGACCCCCCTTTCATCCCCCGCAGCAAATCCACACCGTCGCTTTCCCCGCTTCCAAAGCTGCCGCCCAAAACCCCCACCGTTCCCAAACCCAAGACTCCTAGAGTACCCACGCCCAGAAAGCCTGTCGTGCCGACGCCGAAGGTCCCTTCTGCGTCTCCTGTCAAGCCTGCCCGCCCAGTCATTCCCAAACAGCCACTCAACCGAACTGCACCCCCCATTGCAACCACCTCCCCTGTCGCCCAGCCCAATACCCCTTCCTCCCCTCCAGCCTCCGCCACTCCTTCCCCCTTACTCGCTTCCCCCGGCCCCCCTTCCGCCTCCCCCCCGGACACCTTTATCCCGCTCAAACCGGCGGTTCCGCCGCCTGCGCCGCTTCCCCCAACTGGCAGCACCACTGCCGTTGCTGATGGCAGCACCAGCAGCAGCAGCATCGACAACAGCAGCGATAGCAGCAGCAGCAATGGGAGCAGCGGCAGCAGCAGCAGCGGGGGGCTGAGTCTGCCAGTGTATATCGCCATAGGGGCGGGTGCGGGGCTGGCGTGTATCTTGGCCGCGCTGCTGCTCGCGTGGTGCTGCTGCTGCAGGGGAGGGCGCAAGGATAAGAAGACCAAGGGGGTGGTGAGTTCACTGTTTTCTCCATCAACCTTTGCCCTGTAGAACACAGAAGCCTACCTCCAGTCCCCATCATACAACCACTCGCCTCAGCTCCTCTCCCGGGTGCTACCAGACTGTCGTCCCCCCTCTGCACGCACCACCCACACTACTCCCCATTAACCCCCCCTTCTCCCCACCTGACCTTCCCCCCTTCCCCACCTCCAATCTTTCCGCCCTTTCCGCCCTTTCCGCCCTTTCCAATCTGTCCCCCCTCGGCCACCCCCCTTCGATCAGGACAAAGACGGCTTCAAGGAGCCCGCCCTGTCTGTCGCCGCGGGCGGCGCCTGGGCGGCGAAGAAGCAGAAGCAGACAAACCGTCTCGGCGCCATGCCACCCTCCACCGTCGCCGCATCTGTCGGCTCCCCGGGAGCGCGCTCCCTGGCCGTCGATGTCGAGATGGGCGGCTGTCTGCCGTCCTCCCGCGATCTCGCCGTGTTTCCCGCTGCCGCCTCCCCTACAGGCGCAGCGCCGGGCTCGGCGGCTGTAGCGGGGCTGGCTGTAGCGGGAGCAGCGGGAGCGGCTGCTGTGGCGGCTACAGCCAGGCAAGAGTCGCGCGGACGGCAGGAGAGGAGAGAGCGACAGAGTGAGTCTAGAGACCCGAAGGTTCGGCAATCGGCGGCTTGGGAGCAGGCTCGGGGACAGGAGCAGAGCGGGTCTTTTGGTAGGCAGGAGGATACGACAAGGGATGCGAGCCAGCACAGTGCGTATGGTACTCATAGTGGCCGTGCTGCTGCTGGTGCTGCTGCTGGTGCTCCTGCTGGTGCTGATGCTGGTGCTGCATCTCGTGGTTACTACGACAGTGGTTACACGGCCCAGTCGACCGAGAAAGGCGCTGCTTACAGCAGTATGAGCGCAGCGAGTGTGGCCCGGAACAGCGCTACCACCCCCAGCCCTGTCAAGAATCTGGGCGGGTGGGGCGCCGCTAGGCAGCAGAGAGCTCCTGTGGCTGATGCCGTTGCAGAGAGTGAGGGTGAGAGGGAGAGAGCGAGGGAGAGGGGGGGGGAGAGGGAGAGTGGGAGCGAGAGTGAGAGCGACGGCCCCCCGTCGCACTCGGTGGTGTCGTCGGTGGTGAGCAGGGACAGGGGGTGGGACGACGGCAGCAAAATCGGGTCTGGAATGGGCGCTGCTAGTAGCGCCCTTGACGCTCACAACAGCAGTGGGGGGACGCATGTAACCGCGCCTGCTTCTGCTTTTACTGCCGCTGCCGCTGGTGCCGCTGGTGCCGCTGGTGCCGCTGGTGCTGCTGGTGCAGCAGCGAGTAGGGGACGTGGAGGGGGCCAGTCTGCTGCTGCAGCGGTGTCAGGTGCTTCTGGTGCGTCGGGTGCCACTACCGGTCTAGACTCGGACGCGGAGGAGATAGAGATGGAGGAGAGGGGGTGCGGAAGAATGGCTGCAGCCTCGCCTGTTACCAGCGCGGCAGCCGTGAGCAACGCTGTGGGAGAAAGCCCACGCAAGCCGGGGTCAGGTGCACCTGGGGTAGGCGCAATAGGTGCCACTGGTGCAGGTGCATCTGGTCCGCGGGTGGGCGTGTATGGGCCAGCCGGGCGGTCGCTGCGGGTAACGGACCTGCACGTGGAGGAGGGGGAGGAGAGCAGCAGCGTGACGAGCGACAGCAGTGAGAGCGACTACCCCACCTCCGCACACAGGCTCGCACGAGCTGGTTCGCCAGCAGCAGCAGCAGCAGCAGCAACAGCAGCAGCGGGAGAGAGGAGAGAGAAGCCCGCAGCAGCATCGCCTGCTATTCCCAGGGGGTGGGCTGCCGGCGCCACTGCTGCCACTGTGGCTGCAGCAGCTGCTGCTATCTCACCTGCTCCTGCTGTGGCATCCAGTGCCAGAGGCACTGGCGCCGGGGCGCAAGGGGAGAGGGATGGAGACACGTTGGACACGTCAGCAGATGGTGACGAGGCAGCAGGGCACGGGTTAGAGCGGTATTTCACGGTTGCTGAGCTGGCACTGGCGACGAACGATTTTGGGCGGCAGAGTGAGCGCAGCGTGCTGGGCAGCGGGCGGCACGGCACTGTGTACCGCGCACGGCTACCGGAGGGGACGACAGTGGCTGTAAAACGACTGAGCGACAGAAAGTAAGTCGTACAACCGGCTACAAGTCGAGTCTGAGAAACGTTTCTGCCAAAACAACGACCGACAGTACGCACAGCCCCTCCCTTACGCCACCGCCACATACATCATGGCACAGCCGCCCCTCGTGCCCACTTCATCGCACCGTCGTCTATCACCCCCCACCCCGCTGTTATCCTCTCCACCCTCTCCATCCCCCCCCGGTCTGTGCGGAGGGCAACGAGCCGTCTCTCAAGCTTCTCCTTATCCCCTCCCCCATGCCAACCCCACCCCTTCCCAGACTGGAGCAGTCCCCCCACGAGTTCAAGTTCGAGGTTGACTCCTTGGCCCAAGCAAAACGCCCCAACCTTGTGGCGGTGCTGGGGTGCTGTGCGGAGGGTGATGAGCGCATGCTGGCGCATGAGTCCCTGGAGAACTCTTTCCCAACCTTCCCTTCTCCTTTCCCTCCTCCACTCTCCCCCCCTGTCCCCTCGCCTGCCAGCCTGGAGCAGTCCCCTCGCGAGTTCAAGTTCGAAGTCGACTCACTAGCCCAGGCCAAGCACCCCAACCTGGCAGCAGTGCTGGGGTGCTGTGCGGAGGGCGAAGAGCGCATGCTGGTGTACGAGTACCTCGAGAACGGGTCGCTGGACTCGTGGCTCTACCAGACCGCTGCTGGGGGCTCGGCTGACACTCTCGACTGGCCCATGCGCATCCACGTTGCCATAGGGTGTGCCAAAGGGTAGGTGCTTTTCCTTACGTGCTTGTTGCCGTTGGTCGAACCAAAGCGTATGCCGAAGGGTGTGCCCCATCTCTTCCCACCCTTCCCACCCGTCACAATTCCATCCCACCCCTCACCATCCCTTCCCATCCCCCATTCATCCCTCCCATCACTCGCATGCAGCGTGGCCCACTTGCACGGCGGCATGGCAGGGAAGGTGGTGCACAGGGACGTGAAGGCCAGCAACGTGCTGCTGGACTCATATGCCCCCCCTCCGTTCCTCCTATCACTCCCTTGGCAGCCTCGCACATCTCCATGGCGGCATGGCAGTGAAGGTGGTGCACAGGGACGTCAAGGCCAGCAACGTGCTGCTGGACGCGCAGTGGAACGCCAAGCTGGGCGACTTCGCGCTGGCCAAGGCCATGGGGCGCGACCAGGGGCACGTGGGCACGCGGGTCATGGGGACCTTTGGGTGAGTGTCTGTGTGCTAGCGTCTGCATACCTGATGGGGGGGGTGTCTTGTTGTGTCTGATTGGCTGGGCGACTTCGCGCTGGCCAGGGCCATGAGGAGGGATCAAGGGCACGTGGGCACACGAGTCATGGGGACCTTTGGGTGAGTCGCTTTCCTGAACCATATGGTGCTGCCTTGTGACCTAACGCCAAGCTGGGGGACTTGGCGCTGGCCAGGGCCATGAGGCGCGACCAGGGGCACGTGGGCGCACGGGTCAAGGGGTCTCATCTCCCTCTCTGCGCTCCTCCCTTGTACTGCATATCGTGCATCCCCTCCGTGCCCTGCACCAGATACGTGGCTCCTGAGTACTTGAACACGGGGCTGCTGACAGAGCGCAGTGACGTGTACAGCTTTGGTGTGCTGCTGCTGGAGCTGATTTCTGGCAGGCGGCCCATCGACAACGAGGCACCCTCGGACCAGGTGGGCTTGGGTTGGGAAGGCAGTGTGCAGGGACATGTGGTGGCGTGGCCTCTGAGCTCACTCCAGAATCGACTGCTGCAGATACCAATGCATGCCAGACGCCCCATTGGCAATGAGGCGCTCTCGGACCAGGTGGGTTTGAAAGGCAGGTATGCACATGTGATGTGGCCTCTGAGCTGACTCCAGAACCAGCGTGTGCAGGAACGCAAGAGTGGCAGACGGCCCATGGACTACAAAGGTCCCTCCAACCAGGTGGGCTGGAGGCGGCAGTGTGTGCACACGTGACGTGGGGCTTTAAGCTGACTCCAGAATCACTTGCTGCAGGAACCCATGATCGGCAGGCGGTCGTTTGAGCATGCAACACGCTCGAAGCAGGTAAGCTAAGAGAGACAGTGCATGCACATGCACATGCACATGCAACACAGTGTGGTGTGGCTTTGAGCTGACTCCAGAATGAGTGTCTGCAGGAACGCAAGTTTGTCAGACGGCCCATGCATAAGGGAGCACCCTCGGACCAGGTGGGCTGCTGTTGGGCGTGAGCATGACCAAATGGTGCCTGCTGAGTCGTCTATGCATGCATGCATGATCAGCGCTGGGGCTATGGAGTAATGCATGTGCACTAACACTCCCCTCACCTTCGCCTCTCCCTCACTCTCGTCTTCCTACCTCACTGTCTCACTCCCCTATTCCCTCTCAGGTGGACTGGGTGCGGTGGGCACAAGCCAGAGAAGCAGAGGAGCGGCTGCCAGAGAGCCTAGACCTGCGGCTGCAGGAGGCGGTGCCTGGGGACGACGTGAATCACGCACCTACACCTCCTGTCCCTCACTCGCTCCCTCACTCCCCCCCTCACCCACTCCCGCAATCGCTCCCCCTTTCCCTCCCTTTAGGTCGACTTGGTGCGGTGGGTGCGGGCCAAAGCAGCAGAAGAGCGGCTCCTCGAAATCCTCGACCCGCGGCTGCAGGGGGCGGTGCCTGGGGACGACGTGGAGTATGCGCTGGGGGTGGCGCTGCGATGCGTGGAGCCCAACGCGCTCAAGCGGCCGCGCATGCCGCAGATCGTGCACATGCTGGAGAGTGAAGACCCCAAGCAGGTATGTATGCTGTGGGGCGAAGCAGGTAGTGTTTTGAGTGTGTATGTATGGCATCCCTTGAGGTTGCTCAGAGTACAGTAAGACGGCCACGGATGCCACAGATCGTTCACATGCCTCAAGCAGGTACTGGTGGTCATGAGTGGGCATAGTGTGGATAAAGCAAAGCACATCCCCAGTGCTCAGCTTCTCTTGCGTTTCCTCATCCGCACCGCCCTCAACCCAGCTGCAATCTCATCTTCCTGATTTTTGTCTCTTTTCTGACTTCTCTTCTTCCAACACCCCCCTCTTTCTCCCGCTCGCCCCCCAACCCATCAGAGGGACGACTGGGTGGCACGGAGACCAAGCCCTTCCAGTGCCCGCTCCCTTGCCTACCGGGACCCTTCCCCCCGCGCCAGTTTCCGAGACCCCTCCCCCTGCTCCCAACACCTACGGGATTCCTCCCCCCGCGCCACCATCCGAGAGCCATCCCCCCGCGCCCCCTACTTCCGTGACCCCAGCCCGCGCTTCCCCGCTGCTGCCTCCGTGCCTGGGAGCACTGGAGGTTACTCCAGTGGTGGGGGGGGAGGGGGAGCAGGAATGGGGGCGGGAATGGGAGGGGGGGCTGCTGCTTGGTCGGATTCTAGTAGGGGGACTAGTCCCAGGATAGGGGGGCTTGGCTCAGCATCGCATAACGGCACTTACTACGGCATGCCAGGTTCAGCGAGAGCTGCTGAGCCTTACCGGGGCAGCAGCATGAGCCCAAGGCAGTATGGAATGCCGGGTTCGGCAAGGGCTGCAGAGCTGTACCGAATTAGCAGCAGTCCGAGGCAAGGTGGCACGCCGAGCCAGAACAGCTATTACCCGTCGCGCAATGCATCTAGCCCCACCGCTCCGGACATTGGAGCCATGATTGCGTCTGCTGCTATGAGGACATCTAGCCCAAGAGCCCTGCATTTCCAGGGTAGTAGTGGAAGTAGCCCCAGGGCCATGTCCCCTAGGGGCTATTCACCCCGAGCGTTTGGAGGACCGGGGGGTATGGTAGGAGGTTCCCCTGCAGCAGGGGCGGGCATGGGCATGGGGATGAGCATGGGCGTGTCGCCACGAGTGGCGAGCCCAAGGCCGTCAAGTCCGCGCATGCAGAATGGGGATGCGGGGAACATCATTGCAAGCCATGCCATGAGCATGAGCACGTACAGGAGACAGGGGTCCTGGAGTAGGAGATAACACGGCGACACGGGACGGACACATTCGTTAGACTTGATTCATGTGTAACAATGGGTTGAGGGATAACGCTGGAAGCTTAGGAAGGTGTAGTGGAAGCTTTGTTAGAGCATGGACAAGTGTTTGTCCAGAAGTCCCGAGACTGATGTTTAGTGGAAGGTCATATGATACGAGCAAAGAAGTGCAGGACGGGGTACCGTACTAGAGCATGGAGTGAGCAGTCGCTCAATACCCGGCCACTCTGGCAGATCTCTGATCATTCCTGACCAGGGCCTATTTTTCAAGGGTAATTACCCGGAATAAAAAAACATTAAGAGTTCGCGCTCTTAGAACTGAATAATGATTGAGTAGTGAGAGAGTACAAGGGATATACCTAAGTGTTGTACCCTCTAAGAGGTGACCCTATACAGTCTATACAAACATTAGAGATACACATGTTTGACACACCCCCTAGACTTCATAGGGGCAGGTCCTGAACAAGCAGCTCAGGGCGGCATTACTAGTCCAGCCACTGAGACAGGGGTCTAAAGACCACTCAAATGGAGTATAGACAAGGCAAGAACAAGACCAGGGCGGCACTACTAGTCCAGCCACTGTGGACACAAGTCCAGTTTGAGTACAGATAGATATATATAGGACTGTACAAAGTCAAGGCCCTAGTGAGAGGCTACAGGAACTAGACCGAGCTGTACACAGTGCCGCTGATGATCTTTAGGCGCAAGCGCCAGGTACATGAGGCAACCCACCAGCTCAGCGTAGGGACCACTGGGCTCTACTAACTCCTCAGGAACTGGAGCGGAGAGTCTGTGGTCTAGAGGCAGAGGGGTGGGCTGTGCAGAGGAGAACTGAAGGCCGAACCTCTGAAGGACCTGGCGCACCAAGTGTGACTGAGTCAAGCTGATGGTGCGCGCTGCTCTGTCCCTGGAGATCTGCAAGCCAAGGTAACGGCGCAGTTCTCCAAGGTCAGTGCAAGTGTGTCTCTTTAGCAGCTCTGCCTTCACGGAGGCCAGTGCGTCCCTGTCTGCTGTGGCAAAGACCAGATCGTCCACGTACACAAGGATGTAGAACGGAGTCTGGCCAGCACGAATGAAGAGTGAGGGGTCTGCAGAGGACGGAAAGAACTGAAGGTCAACAAGGGTAGCACGCAGCGTGTCGTGCCACTCACGGGGAGCCTGCCACAGGCCGTAGACGCGACGCCGCAGGAGCCACTGGGTCCCAGGAGGGAAGGTGCCAGTAAAGCCCTGAGGGCGACGCAGGTAGACCTGCTCGTGTAGGCTGCCCTGAAGGAAGGCAGTGGAGAAGTCGACGGAGTGAAGCTCGTAGTCACGCTGAGCTGCTAGGTGTAGCAGAACCTGAAGAGTAGTCATCTTCGGGGTCGGAGCGAAGGTGTGGAAGAAGTCCACCCCCTCACGCTGACTGAAACCTCTAGCCACGTAGCGCGCCTTGAACACAGGCGGCTCTCCAGGAGGGCGCTTCACCTTGAAGAGCCAGCGGCCATCGACTACGTTCACCCCAGGTGGGGGAACTGCGTCGACGAAGGTGCCAGTGGATCTCCAAGATGCCATCTCCTGCTCCATGGCAGCTATCCACTGAGAGGCCCAGGGTCCCGAGGTCGCCTCAGCGTAAGTGCGAGGGGTCGGGATGTCGAAAGCATCTTGGTCACCCTCAGGGACTAGCAGCATGGAACAGAGATGGGGAGCAGCCTCAGACAGGAAAGCAAGCTTGAACTGGCGGTCCTCCAGGACGTCACTGCCGAGGGCAGGAGCACCCCCGAAAGACGGAGGACGGGCAGGGTATGAGACCAGAGCGGTGGCGTAGTCAAGGTGGCGGGTATAAACGAAGTCAGCGACCGCAGCGACAAGAGCGTCAAGACATGAGACCGGAACGGACGGGTCGGTAACGAGAGAGGTGAGGACACGAGGAACAAGAGGACGAGCGGCACGAAGGTAGTCAGACAGAGGGGGAGCAGGACAACAAGGGAGGACGGAGGAGGGGACGGGAGAAGGGGAGGACGAGACGCGTGGGAACGAAGCAACATAGGGTGAGAGCGCGAGACAGGGGAGACAGACCGGGCACGGGAGGGACGGCGAGACCAGACGTGAGACGGAGGAGTCGGGTCAGGAGACAGAGGAGGGGACACAAGGGGAGAGGGAGGGGGAAGACAAGCCGGGGACGAGACCGGCGGAGGGAACACAGGGCCGTAAATGGGAAAAGGAGGAGACGGGAGGAGAGGAACGGACGCAGGGTCAGGGGACGGAAGGCCGAGCAGGCGAAGGGCAGACACCGGCAGGGACTGCTGCTGCGGCGGCACAACGCCGACACCGGGACCGCAAGCTGCTCCTCGGCTACCACCTGCACACTCCACTCCAGCATCCCTATAAGGAACACCCCCAGGGCCCGAAACCCCTCGAGCACTGGCACCACCCCCAGGGCCACCGGGGCTAGGACACACTCCAACACCAGCACCCCCAGAGGCAACGAACGGCTACGGCGACGGCGGCGGCGGCTGCGGGGACGACGGTAGTGACAGCAGAGGCGACGGCGGCTGTAGAGGAGGTGGAGGAGGAGACGCCTGGGGAGGGGCAGACGGCGAGGACTGCGCCGCAGGACCACCAGAGTCAGAAGACTCCTCAACCGGGACAACCGACGGGAGACGGGTGACGTGGGACACACCAGAGGGGGCAGGACCGCTAGGGAAGGGACCACCGGGGAAGGAGTGACCAGGAACAGGGGGTGGGTAAGTCAGCGTGAGGGGGTGGACTTCTTCCAGACCTTCGCCCCGACCCCGAAGATGACTACTCTACGGGTTCTGTTACACCTAGCTGCTCAGCGTGACTACGAGCTTCACTCCCTCGACTTCTCCATTGCCTTCCTTCAGGGCAGCCTACACGAGCAGGTCTACTTGCGTCGCCCTCAGGGCTTTACTGGCACCTTCCCTCCTGGGACCCAGTGGCTCCTGCGGCGCCCCGTCTACGGCCTGCGCCAGGCTTCCCGTGAGTGGCACGACACTCTCCGTGCTACGCTTGCTGACCTGCAGTTCTTTCCGTCTTCCGCAGACCCCTCACTCTTCGTTCGTGCTGGCTAGACTACGTTCTACATCCTTGTTTACGTCGACGACCTGGTCTTTGCCATAGCTGACAGGGATGCACTAGGCTCCGTGAAGGCAAAGCTGCTGAAGAGACACACGTGCACTGACCTTGGAGAACTGCGCCGTTACCTTGGCTTGCAGATCTCCAGGGACAGAGCTGCGCGCACCATCACCCTGACTCAGTCACACTTGGTGCGCCAGGTCCTTCAGAGGTTCAGCCTTCAGTTCTCCTCTGCACAGCCCACCCCTCTGCCTCTAGACCACAGACTCTCTGCTCCAGTGTCTGAGGAGTCGGTAGAGCCCAGCGGCCCCTACGCAGAGCTGGTGGGTTGCCTCATGTACCTGATGACTTGCACTCGCCCAGATCTCGCATACCCTCTCAGCATCCTGGCTCGCTTTGTGGCCACAGGCAGACACCGACCGCAACACTGGTCTGCCGCTAAGAGGGTTTTGCGTTATCTTGCTAGTACATCGGGCATGGGGTTGGTGCTAAGAGGACGCAGGCCAGTGGTCCTTACTGGACACACAGACGCTTCGTGGGCAGACGACGCTGAGACACTCAGGTCTACCCAGGGCTACTGCTTCAGCCTTGGCTCAGGTGCCGTCTCGTGGAGGGCTACCCGCTCCTCGTCTGTTGCCCAGTCCAGCTGTGAGGCTGAGATCTACGCTGGTGCCATGGCGGCACAGGAGCTCCGCTGGCTGACCTTCTTGCTCACTGACTTAGATGAGCGGCCTTGCTCTGCCCCGGTCCTGTTCGCTGACAACAGGGCCATGATCCTCCTGTGTCAGGAGCCTCGACTCGAGGGCAGAGCGAAGCATATTCAGCTGCGATACTTCCTCCTGCGCGAGCTACAGCAGCGACGCCAGGCTCGCGTAGTACACTTGGCCTGAGGTGCCAACATAGCTGATATCTTTACGAAGGCGCTTGCGCCTAAAGATCATCAGCGGCACTGCGTACAGCTTGGTCTAGTTCCTGTAGCCTCTCACTTGCTAGGGCCTTGACTTTGTACTGTCGTTTATATTTATACTCAGACTGGACTTGTGTCCACTCCCAGTGGTTGGACTAGTAGTGCCGCCCTGGTCTTGTTCTTGCCTTGTCTCAACTCCTTCTGACTGGTCTTTTAGACCCTTGTCTCAGAGGTTGGACTAGTAGTGCCGCCCTGAGCTGCTTGTTCAGGTCATTCCCCTATGCAGTCTAGGGGGTGTGTCAAACATGTGTATCTGTTATGTTTGCATAGACTGTATAGGGTCACCTCTTAGAGGGTACAATACTTAGGTATATCCATCTGTACTCTCACTCTAATTCATCACTTCTCTCATTCTGATAAAGCTGTCCAATTGCGGCACGTCAGGGTCTGTGCCTTACTGTTCCGGAACCCGAAGTTCTGCAACCCTGCAATCGGCGAAGATTTTGACCGGAGGGGGATTCGCAAAGCTGAGGTGAAATATGAATAATTTTTTTGGAATACAAAATCAACAGATTGTGATTCGATTTGAAGAGGAGTTTTGCTGTAAAGGAGACAAGCTCCTTGCAGGTCCGATGGACCTGCCACCTAGTCTCATTCTCATTTCTCTTCTCTGATTGCTCCCACCCCCCTCTCCCATTTTCCTAGTCGGCATCTGCCTGTTTAGCTTTGTCCTTTAGAACATCCATGTACTTCTAACTACGAGTGTGCTGTATTATTGAGATATGAAATGCTATGACGACTGCACTGCACACTCCTCTGAAAGTCGTGTCACAATGTGCTGCAAGACGTGTGACCAGCCCAAGTTCCAGAATTTGCCTGGTCAGGAACAGGGCTCATGCTAAGGTTATTTTTAACTCTGTTTCTCTCGGATTCCCCACCACCCTGCACCCTGATTCGTCCGGATTTCAGGGTAGTTGATTTCTGTTTCATCCGGATTCGGGTACAAAGTTACTTTTAGCCGAGTTTCAACAAACATTGACTCGGACATGTCAAGATGTTCAGCATTCGGCGGCAGGATGTCCGAATGATGCCGAAGCGGCCGCCGCCGCCGCCGCTGATGCCGCTGGGCGTTCCCGCCGCACGCCGCCGCCACCGCCGCTGTCGATGCCGCACTCGATGCTGACGGTGTCCCTGCAGCCCTTGTTGCACCGTCGCCCTGCCTCTCGCGCCGTGAGGTTGGCCATGCTGGAATGGCCGTGGCTGTTGCTGAGTATTGGGG